GACAAAACAGTTTACCGTGGCATATATATACATGATGATGATGATGAGTGTTCTAATTGAAATAAAGTATATTATGCCCTTCAACATCTGCTAAAGTTAAAGTGTTTGTCTCGCAACACCAAGTTCAAAATATATAAAACGTTGATAAGACCAGTCGTTTTGTATGGCTCTGAGACTTAGAGCACAACTAAAAGAGATGAAGCCTTATTACAGGTTTTCGAAAACAGGGTCTTACGATGAATCTTTGGACCCATCAAAGATGCAAACAGCGGTGAATATATAGAGAGAGAAGCAACAACAAAATGCATAATCTGTATAAATCGCCACTATTCACTGGCATCATGAGAGCTAATAGACCTAAATGGTTAGGGCATATTGAAAGAATATCATGTGACGGAGGGGTAAAAACTTTATACACCAGGGAGATGAATGGTCGTAGACCACGACCAAGACTATAGAGAGATAATATCCAGACCTACAAACAACTGGAAAGAGAGGGCCAACAAGAGAGATGAATGAAAGCGGGTGATATCTGCAGCAATGAACCCCAAGGGCTCGGAATGTTGAAGAGAAGAAGAAAAACAACTGTTGTACGCCTTCATTGCTTTTAATAAATTAGCGTGTTTGTCCCGGAGAAGGTTACTTGCGTATCCTTTACAGGACGTTGCAGAACCAAGCCCAGCCCCTGGCTGTTGTGTGGCTTTTCTGGGCAAATTTACGTCCAGTAGTTTGCCATTGTTTCCTGGACGGTCGGCTTTCTTTATACCACTGTAGAGACCAACGCAGGGCGCAGGGCCCGCAGCTAGGATCGAATCCACAGAGCCGACGTCCCGGAGAAACTATGAAGAAAATGTAAGCATGTCTTGTTTAGAAAAGCCAGAAAAAACTCAAATACGTCAAAACACGCTAGCTTTATCTTTAAATAGTCAAAACATTTTTATCTAAAGCTCACAGATCACAAAATGTGGGGAATCTGGCGTAGAAAAAAAGCCAACATGGCAACCCTTGTGAGGATTCTATAGGATGAACCAATTCCAGCGAAATCTCATGAATATTCAGAACTGAATATGTAAATCCAACTGTATAGAAGTCTTTGATATCTGCTAATTTGGATTAAAAAAAGACCCTAGAAACCAAACATTATTCAGAATTATTGTATTATTATTCTTATACAATTGTCTAGTTCAGCAGCGTCACACCATATGACTTTAGAGAAGAAACTTTGGCTCTCCTCCGAACTTCTAACCCTGCATTATGGCGGCTAGACACATATCCTAACAGGGCCTCACTCCTATTAAAAATATGCAAACTTCCGGCGCCGAACGAATTGCGGCAAAACTGGGATAACCTGACAATTTCAAGAGGCGCAACACTGCAGACGATAATAGTGACCTTTGACACTTTTGAGCGTTTCTGCATATGATACTAGTAACCTTTGACAATTTTGAGTCACGCAACATTACAGACGATAAAAGCGACATGGCGGGGAGACCACGCGCGCCGACGCAGATTAGCGTCGTTGTTCTCAAACTTTTCAGCATTCGCAAAATGTGGTTACACTCACCGCCGGTGGGTATCCCCCGCGCCGCTACACTCACCGCCGGTGGGTATCCCCCGCGCCGCTACACTCACCGCCGGTGGGTATCCCCCGCGCCGCTACACTCACCGCCGGTGGGTATCCCCCACGCCGCTACGCGCATCGTGGATAGGGGGCTAAACCAGATGCCTGGGACTCATGAGCAAATTAATTGGAGGAAGTTGCAGGAGATGCGGTAGCTGCTGCTCGTGAGTCCCAGCTATCTAGTTTAGCCCCCATCCGCGTCATGCATAGTGACACACGGCATGGACTTGAGGCAGAAGGTTGGGGACAGACATGACTACCAACTCCACACGGCATGGACTTGAGGCAGAAGGTTGGGGACAGACATGACTACCAACTCCACACGGCATGGACTTGAGACAGAAGGTTGTGGATAAACATGACTACCAACTCCACACGGCATGGACTTGAGACAGAAGGTTGTGGATAGACATGACTACCAACTCCACACGGCATGGACTTGAGACAGAAGGTTGTGGACAGACATGACTACCAACTCCACACGGCATGGACTTGAGACAGAAGGTTGTGGACAGACATGACTACCAACTCCACACGGCATGGACTTGAGACAGAAGGTTGTGGATAGACATGACTACCAACTCCACACGGCATGGACTTGAGGCAGAAGATTGTGGACAGACATGACTACCAACTCCACACGGCATGGACTTGAGACAGAAGATTGTGGACAGACATGACTACCAACTCCACACTGCATGGACTTGATTGAGGCAGAAGGTTGTGGACAGACATGACTACCAACTCCACACTGCATGGACTTGACTGAGGCAGAAGGTTTTGGGTAGACATGACTACCAACTCCACACGACATGGACTTTCGACATGGACTTAAGGCAGAAGAGTTAAGAACAGGCTAGGTTTAAGGCAGTGGCTTTCTAATGCCGCGACCCTTTAATACTGTTCCATCCTGTTGTGGCGACCCCCAAATAATTATTTTCCTTCATAACTTCAATAAATATGTGTTTTCCTATGGTCTTAGGCGACCCCTGTGAAAGGGTAATTGAACCTTTAAAAAAAGGCAGCGGCCGGCAGGTAAAAACCGCTGGTCAAAAGCTTAAACAACGGATCAACATTGTTCGACCTAAAAAGACATGGCATTACTTCCAATGCAACCCTGCATGGACTTTAAGAAGAAAAAGAAGGACTGTATGTCTGGATCAGCTGCATTTTTGTTTGTTTGCGTGTTGATATATGTTGATGCTTTAATAGTGGGACTATTTGGTAATTTATGTTGTTGGCCTTCTGTAATGTTTTCTGTTTCTCTTTCTAGTCCTCCATCCTCAGCGAATACATTGCCTAGGTGCTTAAATCCTTCCGCTGGATTGAGAATCAGCTGTACACGTATTCCATAATTGTAGCTGACTCAGTATGTTGAGAAAGGTGGAAACAGGCTTGCTGCTTGAAGAGTGGCACGCATCGCTTCAGAGGTCACTGGTAGTTAGCACCCTTTGGATATTTTCTCCAGGTCATGCTGGTGTGTCGGGAAATGAGCAGGCAGAAAGACTGACCGGTTCTGCACTAATTGGTGGTGACTTGATGTATGACAAGCTAAATGTTTTGAGTACTCTTTGGGAGAGAATAAACAGTGTGGAGGCACAAATAGATCTTAACGGTTTGAGAAGAATGGCGCTGCAGGGAGTTGCCAGGGAATCAGCGTTCACGGGAAAGTCCAGACGAATGAAAAATCAGACAGTTACTGCTGAAACTCTTCACTTGCTGCTCAAGATGGGGGACAGAGCGCTTATGGAAGTGTCCTGAGTGCTATGATGTTAATTTTTAATTGAATATTTAACTCCTTAGCTTGTTTTAATGCTAATAAAGAGTTAATCAGGGTAATATTTCAAGGTGACAATGTCAAACAGTGTCTGCAAGACCAGCTAACAACAGCAGTTGGTCAAACATTGTTCTCCCCTGTATCAGTGATCAGATACAAGACCACTCCCTTCACTACCCCACCTGTTAAAGGACCAGTATCTCTACACTAAATCTAATTGCATTTATCAATTTACAAGTAATTGCCAGTTGACTGACATCAGTCAAGCTGAGACAGCTTGAAAACAGGGGGACAGAACTGATCCTAAACAGCTCCACGCATAACTGAGTGGGGAGCATGTTTAAAGATTAGCCGAGAAGAGAAAATGCAATTCTTTAATAGGACGCCATTTGCTTGACTCTGGACACATAGTTAATAAGGATTATGCCTTTATAATTATTTATCACACGTGGAATAGACATCTGTTGAAAGTGGCTGTAGCCGTATCAGTCAAACTGAACTCTCCTGTGTTATGTAAGCAAAAACAGAACATGATTTGGTGTAACTGTAGTAATCACATGGATAGTCTTGAATTTCCTGTGTAGGGATGTACAGCCCAACTTGACAATTCAATTTATGTATTTCAGCAAAAAGGATTAAGTAAGATGCCGCAAAATATCCCATTACTAAAGTGTGCAATGTATCGATGTTTGTGTTCATGTTATTTCAATTAGAGAATTGCTGAAGTCGATGTCTTGGACTGAACGCAACAGATATTGTAGCCTAGCTGCAAACCACAACACAAAGTGTCAGCCTCTCTTTTAAGAGCAAATTCAGAAGAGGAAGAATATCAATATTTCCAAACAGTAGACTCGAGTATATTTTTTTTAATGTATGATTTGAAACACTGATGGTATTTTTGTTCACCTAGGTTAATAATTAGAAGCTGAAATATTTTGGTCATATCAAGCGCCACGATGGATTGGACCAATTATAGCAGAAGGCATGGTACCAGGAAGGAGGGGCAGGGGCCGACCGACACGAAGATGGGCACAGGATATAAGTGACGCCTTGAGAGTGAAAGTAAATGAGGCGGTAGAACTGGCAAGAGACCGAGTATCTTTCAGTCAGACCGTGATGAGAGCGACCTTCTGCAAAGGACCTGCTACATGATGATGATGATGATGAGGTTAAAAAGGCAAATACATTGATATAAATGTTATAAGGTACAAAATTGATGAAAAAGTAGAATGAGAGACAAAATGAAGAGATAAATAAAGATTGAGTTGATGGATAGGGGAAAGATAGATCAGTGAATAGAGTAAGATACAATTATTAGTTTTAAAACCATCTTTTCTTCTTTTACAGCTGGTGACGAGAAACAAGAAACTTTTGTGCAGGTGACTAACTCATCATCTCATGAGCCAACTCTGTGTCTGGATCATACAAATGATGGGCAGGGTGATTCCACTGGCAGTATTGTTGGTCCATGTGATCATGATTTTGCTGTAACATTGACAGGCTGTGGACATTGTGATCAAACAAACCATGTCAACTTGACTGGACTGGCTGTGGATACTGTCAGGGAAACCCAGATTATAGATGACACAGTTAGTCAGGCAGTATGCCAGACTGGTGATGATGCCCTTAGAAGTGATGTCTCTATAGATTCTGGTAGTAGAGGAGTTGAATTCTTTAGTCAGCCGGTGAAGTTTGTAGAATCTAAAACTAATGGTTCTGCTTTTGTTTGTTATAGCAAAAAAATAGTCACTGTGGGAGCTGAATCCCTATCATCTCTTGAAGTTGATACCAAACAGACAAAGGGGGTAGCTGCTGTAGCAACCACATTAGGAGATTGTGAACAGCATTGTATTGATTCAGATCAGTATATATTGAAATGTGATGGTAGCCATGACAACAGTTTTAGTGACAAGAGTACAGTAGCTGAACACAAGCCTGATCATGATCAGTCCCAGCTTATTGCCAACAATAGTTTTGGAGATAGTGATATTCAAAGTGAAGTCATCGTACAAAACAGCAGATCATCCGGCATGAATTCTACCACTGAAGACGTGAAACTCAAATCTGAAATTGGTCATGGTGATACTTTAGGTGGTAATAAAAAGGAGACACTGGACCCTGATTTGTCTCCAATGACACCTCTTAATGTTAATTCTTCACCTATTTCTGAAACCAGTTATGATAATAAAACTCAGGCCAAAATATTACCAGAAATAAAATCCACTGAGAAAAAACATTGTAAATTTATTCCGGTAGACACTTTAAGTGACTTATTAAATGAAGAAAAGCAAATGATTGCAGGTGCAGTATTACCTGAAACTAATCTCCAGGAGAGATGTATATGTACATCTGAGATTGATGCTCATACTGCTGACAAAAACCCCTACAATACTACAACTCCAACACTGATAACAAAACAAGAAAACCAAGAACTTTCAGCTGAAATGGTTGTCGCTGAGTATAACAATGAGGCACTAGATCATAAATTATCCTATGCAATGCCTACTGAAAATTCATCTAAATTTGATGACTGCTTTTCTGTTAGCATCACTAGGACAGAAAAGAATTTACCTGTTGGTAAAGTATCTGAAATGGAAATAGCTCACAGAAACACTGAACTGACAATTCTCCAAGAAAAGCAAAGTCCTGTGGTTCCAGAAATGGAAGATAGCATTGCAGATGTTCATTCTTTTCATGAGCAACAAGATCAAGACTTGAGTGATGAAAAACCACTTGAAGAGATGTTCATTAGACGACAGCAGTCAGATATCTCAGACACCAGCACTGATAAGCCAGTGTTAGAGACTTTGACCTTCAGTGCAAGCAAACTGACACAAAATGCAGATGGTGAAGAAGCAAAATTGGAGGCTGACATGGAAATGTGCTTGTGCCCTTTGTGTGACCGTGCATATACTTCAGACAATAAAGATGTTCTTGCCCATCTGGTGCTCATGCACAAGTTTGTCATTGCTGATGTCAATTACATTGCCAGTTTGCCATCGTGAGTATTTCCTTACAGTGGCCATCTCAAAGTTCTGTGGCTGTTGTGTATATTTGTGCTTTATTGTCTTTAGAAAACTAGAGGAGATGGGGGTGGGGGTCAGTCAATACAATTGTCTTTGTAAATGAAAAAAAAATTATGATGCAAGAAAATGAGCTAAAAAATCAACAAATTGTTGAAGTGTACATTCGAAGCAGCATTTCACAAGATGAATAATATTTAACAAAGTAAATGAATCACAGTGAAGGAGGGAGTTTTAGGAATTAATTACTGTCAGTTATTATCAGTTTAACTGAGTCATGGACACTTTCTAGATTACAAAAAATGCTGAATATAACACAAAAATTGACTAGAAAGCTTAATGGAAAACAGGCACACAAACACAACTGAACGTTATGACCAAAGTCTTTATTAACAGATAACTAACTACATTAACCAAATTAACACCGCAAAAACAAAAATTCTAGACCTTACCAACAGTTCAGTTGATATCACGCTGAACAACAACAGCCTTGAAAAAGTCAACAGTTTCACTTATCTAGGGAGCAAGATGGCATCTACAGAAGATACCGCACCAGAAATACCATTTAGAATAGCACTGGCATCTAGATCCTTCAATAAACTGTCCAACATCTGGAAATCAAAGACACTTAGCAAAAACACAAAACTCAAGATCTTCAATTCTTGTGTGATTCCAGTACTAAACTATGGATGCGAGAGCTGGAAATCAACGAAAACTCTAGACACAAAATTAGACAATTTTGAAAACAAATGCCTTAGAAGAATACTAAATTTCAAATGGTCAGATTTCCGAACCAATACACAAATAAGGCAAGAATCCAGGCAAGAGTATGTGTCTAATTTTATACGAAAACGCCGCTGGAACTATGTCGGCCACGCCCTTAGAATGGATAAATCAAGACTTCCTTACCAAGCCCTCATTTGGACACCACAGGGGAAAAGATCTCGTGGAAGACCAAGGGAAACCCTACGTAGAACTATCATCAGGGAAGGCTCGCTCATAGGCCACTCAAACATCCAAGACCTACAACAGATTGCAACGAACCGCCATGCATGGAGAGTCATGACCTCTGCCCTATGTGCCGCACTCGACACAAGAGGAAAGACTAACTAACTACAGCACAAAATGTGACTGGAACAACTCGGCCGACAAGACAAAGGAGCTAATCAAAAACCAAGGTCAACATGAAACCAAGAAGTACGTAATGGGGGAAAATATGAATAAGAAGAGCTATAATATAATACATTTTACATACACCTTCTTACGTATTTAATTTCGGATTGTGGAAGCGTTGTCTTTTCAGTTGCTTTTTGGTAAGCTGTTTGCTATTCTGTGCATGGGGTTGTTAATCATGCATTAACATTTTACTGTTAGGGTTACCCCCTTTTCTTCCCTGCTCTGGAGGCTAGAAGTTGCCTCCGGCTCATTGATTGTGCTTCTCAAACCTCCAGTGATGATTCTAAGACCAGTGTTCTGTATTGTGTCCACTTGGTATAGATTTGATTTGGCCGCAGTGGAGTTTGCTTCCTTGCCATACTCCAGTTTTGGTCATATTCTATACTTGTCGTACTGTGTTGGCATCTGCACCCCAGCTTGTTCCAGTAAGTTTCTTGATAAGCCTGTGCTGCAGGTGATGGTCATGCCTGTAAGCCACTAAGGAAGTTCAGAGAATGTCTTTGGGAGTAGGGTCAGCCCTAAGGATGGAGAAGAGATGCTTGAGGATAACATTTTTAGCACGGATGTTGTGAGGGTAGGTAAATGTGAGAATGGGTCTGTTATGGTGACGTTTTAGTTGGAAGCGAGAGCCTCAGCCTGATGGATAGATCGTGCTCGGTGAAAGGCAGCAGATACGACATGTTCCGGATATCCTCGGCGCCAGAAGAAGATGGACTCTATCTTCAAAGGAAGCTCCCAATTAGTCAACTCTTACGACTTGCTTTTTTAGGTGGGTCCATTCTTGTTTTTCCCATCCAGAATCTCACAAGGACCCAACATTTCCAGGGCCTTGTTGTGAAAGTCGTCGTTCTCCTGGCGTACTCTGCGGAGGCGTAGAAGCTAGGAGAAAGGAATGGAGTCCTTGCAGGAAAAGGGATGAGAGGATATGTAAAGAAGAAAAGTTTGAGAATCAGTAGGCTTGTAGTACACCGAGGTGCTAAGGCCTTTAGAGTCCATGGTGACTGAGATTCAGAAAACTCACAGAGGAATGTGAAATGCTGAAAGTGCAACTGATACTGGGATGGAAGGTGGAGGAGAAAAAGGAAGTTTTGCAATTCAGGAAGGATCATATTGTTGACACTGATGCAGTCATCGATGTATCTCTTGTAGAGCTCAGGGAGATAGCATGGTTAGTATCCTTGAGGTATCAATATATCTCTTGTAGAGCTCAGGGAGATAGCATGGTTAGTATCCTTGAGGTATCAATATATCTCTTGTAGAGCTCAGGGAGATAACATGGTTAGTATCCTTGAGGTATCAATATATCTCTTGTAGAGCTCAGGGAGATAGCATGGTTAGTATCCTTGAGGTATCAATATATCTCTTGTAGAGCTCAGGGAGATAGCATGGTTAGTATCCTTGAGGTATCAATATATCTCTTGTAGAGCTCAGGAAGAAAGCATGGTTAGTATCCTTGAGGTATCAATATATCTCTTGTAGAGCTCAGGAAGATAGCATGGTTAGTATCCTTGAGGTATCAATATATCTCTTGTAGAGCTCAGGAAGAAAGCATGGTTAGTATCCTTGAGGTATCAATATATCTCTTGTAGAGCTCAGGGAGATAGCATGGTTAGTATCCTTGAGGTATCAATATATCTCTTGTAGAGCTCAGGGAGATAGCATGGTTAGTATCCTTTAGGTAAGACAGAAGACCAGCGACCAGGGGCTGCAAAATATGTTCAGGAAACGTTGTCAGGTTTATATATCTTGGGAAGCATAGAGAGGCCTTTCTTAGACAGCTTTCCTCGACAAATAAAGAGCTGGCCCGAGCAGGTAGAAGATTGTCCTTGATCAAGGTGGTGATAGTACTTTTTACTATTTTGATGTTTTAGTGCCATCGTGTTTCATAGAACGAGGTGTCACTGAGTTGCCCATCCCCTTCCTGCATATAAAAATCTTTTCTCTAAACTACTACCGCTCCTCCCTTATCAGCAGGCTTAATGACAATCCTAGGTTAGTCTTTTGAGCCCACTATGAAAAAGGTACTATGCTTTTTTTTTTTCAAAATTTTCAAGATTCGCCAGATTAACTAATGAGGATTGCTTGAAAGAAGCTAATGAAAGCAGATAAATATATACAGCTATAAGGTAAGACAAGCATTGTTGTTTGGTCATGTGATGAGTGGGAAGGCTTTGAAAAATATTGCAACAGCTCGGAAGATCAATGGTAGAAGAGAAAGAGGCAGACCAAGAGAGAGGTAATGACGGTGAAACTGATCCAGAAGACAAGGGATCGAGGTCTGTGGCCATGCATAAATGCCTGCACAAGTCAGCATGGCACATAATGGTGATGATGATATTGCATCTGGTTCTCCACAGATTTGTACAGTTCATTTATATATTCCTCACATCTGTTTTTAATATCTTGACTGACGGCCAGTCGTTTTTTTTTTTAATTTATTAATAATAGTGGATGGATACAGTTTTTCTTGTGTGTCTCACTGCCTTGACATTTTCTGTAAAATATTCATGAGTTGGTTCCTTGTAGAAGCAAGTCATATGAGTTTTGTGCCTCATGTTACATAACAACCATTGTGTTTTGTTCCATGAGAGAGAAATAGTTAAGCAGTTCATATGAATGAAATGTTGAAAGAAAAGTTTTTCCAGTCATTAGGGAAAGTGATACCATTTTCCTCAGCACAGGGAGTTTGCTTGCAGTTGCAAACTGAATCAGTACTGTAAGTAGTGGAGTGGGAAACCTTCATTTGGCCCAGAGAAGGTGATCTGACATCTAAAATATTGCAAGTGGTGGTTTGGCATGACCAGGAGAGTAGGTTGTCCCACACATCGCTGTAACCCAAGATTGCCTCCATTGAAAACTGCAAGTATGATCAACAGAACTATTTACAGGATCATGAGCTGTAAACTGTGTTGAATAGTTTCTTGACAGTGGCATAGTTTGGTCAAAGTAAACACTATAAGAGTGATTATTTTAGAGTTTGAATTGTTTTCCCCAGATATCTGAGATATTGGAAGGTACGATTTAATGAAAAACCAATTTCAGAATTCTGCTCCAAAATTGTTACAAATACTGGGGCTAAAGATCAAGGTACTTCTTTTGTGTGTTTTTTAAATGATAGATATCACACATAATTTTATTGTAGAACTGTTTAGAGTGTGTGTGTGTCTGTCTGTCTCTCTCTCTCTCTCTCTCTCTCCATCTCTCTCTCTCTCTCTCTCTCTCTCTCTCTATATATATATATATATATATATATATATATATATATATATATATATATATATATATATATATATATATATATATACACACACACACACACACACACATATTTTATCATCTGATCAATGATTCTAGTAATTGTGAGAGATTGCTTATCGGCATTGCATGTGATGATGAAACTATTGAGAAAAGGAATATAGAAAAAGATAACAGTCTTGGTTATCATACTGTCTATAGTTTCTTGGTTTGTTACTTGAAGTAGTTTAGTGTTTGAGATTGTATCTGGCCAGAAAATTTTGATAATTCTACGTAGACATGTGTGGTGAAAGGTGGGCAGCTTGTGTGCATCCTTTTTGGTCATTCTCCAGCACTCCACTCCATAAAGAAGCACTGGCAAAATGATGCTCTTGTAGAGTCGGAGTTTCGTTCCTCTGCATTAACTGCTGGATTTCCATATTTGCCTCATCCTTCCAAAAGTAGCTCAAGCTTTGTTCAGGTGTGACTGTATGTCCTCTTCAGTCCCTCCCAGTAGACATACCACACTGCCAAGGTATATGAAATGTTCTTCATTGTCAAGTGATACAGAGAGAATCTCAAACAGTAAAACATCCTACAAGATTATATTTCTACCAGTCTTGCTGGTTAAAGGAGAGGATCCAGGGTTTGCCCACATCTGATTCTCTACTGTGATTTAAATTGTATATTTAAATATACTAAAATATACTAGCTATTGTTCACTGACACAAATGACTGGTTAAAATTAACTACATAAAGCTGGAAGGACAATTAAAACAATCATGGGACTGATTGGGAAATAAAGCAAGTTCTTGGTTGATATAGTGGATTGATATGTCCACTCATCTGTTGGTGATCCTTGGGTCAGCTTCTGGCTCAGCATTTTTGAGAGAGGTATAGAATAGTATTTACCTAAATGAATGTAAACGGAACATAATATATACTGCTGATGGAAGAAATATTCAATCCACATTGTTTCTCAAAGATATTTCTGAGCATCATCATCATCATCAGGTGCCTTGCCGACTGGCGTGGGCGATCATGCCTCTCCATAATCTGCGATCTCCTGCAGCATGTATCACTTCATGTGCCCACACACCTCCATGCCATGCAACAAGACTGTCAAGCATCTTCTCTCGTTGTCTACCTCTATCTCTCCTTCCACATATCTTTCCAGTGGTCACAACATGTTCTATTTTCCCTCTTCTCATAACATGTCCGAAAAATGATGTCTCCTTCTGATGTCTGTGATAAGTTGTCTTTGGGCTCCCGCCTCTTTCAAAACCTCTTGGTTGCTCTTTTTGGTACATTTCTGAGCACATGAGTTTAATCTCGCTGAGAGAAAACATTCAACTGTGTGAATTGTTCTGCTCTCTTTACATGAGTACTTCTTTCAGGGGGTTAACATGCTGACACACACAGTCATGTTTCAAATGGTATTCTCACTTCAACCACACAAGTTCACATCACAAAGACTGGGAATCGGGGAGTGAATTTACCTGACCGTGAAACTCATAACAGGTGCGTTGCGCAGTTTGAAAATCAATGGGAATTATAAATATCTCAGTCAGTATAATTGGGTGCTGGGAGAGATGTCATACCACAATCATAGATGACAATGGGCTTTCCATCTGTTACAGTATTAACATAAATATTCAACACTAACTCTAACTGTGAATGAATACATGTGCTGAATCTTCAGTAGGGTAAAGATGTTGGGAAGGGTGAAATATAATTATTAAAATTTTGAGCCACACACAGTAGTACTAAAAATATATTCATTCTAATGGAGAATTATATATAACAAATAATGATTACAAGCATGGGCCATTCATCTGCCTTCTTCTGCTCTGACAGTGAATCTAATAATTTATCCACCACGTGATATTTCCTTCTCGAGCTCTTCAACTGGTCTCAGTATTCTATGGACAAAATATAATTTAAAGCTAGACAGTAATTTATAGTATTCAAATCACCAAGAGTGATTGTTAGGATTAGGTATAGTGTACACAAATTTCCTTTATTGATTTGAAAAGGAAGTGGGAACTGCTAGCAATGGGGAAGTAACTCTAAGTTAATCCTTAAGATTGCCACTCACCTTTTTTCCACTTATTATTTAATAAATTAATAATTTTGCTTTTACAGAGCATAATTAAGAAATAAGAAATTTAATAATATTCCTAATACAAAGCAATAATTGAAAGATAAGAAACAGTTGTCCAAACCAGATCGTCACACATACCTAAAGCAGTCTGCTCCTGGCCTATTCTTTGCTCCTACCATATTGCTTTGAATCTTCTTGGAAACGATATATAATCAATTTGAGCGTGACTAGGGCTTTTATAAGTCAGCAGTCATCAGCGAACTAGCTTATAATATGTGATTCAGCCTAGCAATCAGTACATCACTTCATTGATTCTGTTCACCCCAGTTACTTCACACATTTATCACTGCTTACTTTTGTAATGAAGTCACTGAATATCATTGTTACCTAAAAGTTCTTACACTAGTCCGAAGTAATGTGTTTATATTTTATTTTGAAATGTCTCACTGTCTTAAATAAAACAAAGTTTTCTTCAGACCTATCTCCTGTTGGTGCACACACATGTACCATGCTCATATCTAGAGGTTTGCCATGGACTTTCACCAGTAGCACTCTGAGATGTCCACAATTCTATGACCATTTTGCACTCTATGGGCCAAAAAAGATACGGTTTCTTTTTTTTTCTTTTTTCTAAATGTATTTATTTGAATATCTCCTCCTTTCTCCCCTGGCTATCACATTTCACTAATATCTAATATGGGAAAATTCATTTAATCAATACCATTCTAGATGTTATCCATTTTGTAAAAGTATTTTAACATTCTTGAGTAGACATTAACAATCTTGATTCTCTAATCTCTCTTTCATTTGATGTTTTGATAAAGCCTGATGGTTTAAGCCTTTCATATTAATCTTTATCTGACTCATCATCATCATGTAGCAGGTCCTTTGCAGAACGTTGCTCTCATCACAGTCTGCCTGTAAGAAACTCGGTCTCTTGCCAGTTCTCCCGCTTCATGAACTTTCACACTTAAGGAGTCACTTATATCCTGTGCCAATCTTCGTGTCGGTCGGCCTCTGCCCCTCCTTCCTGGTACCATGCCTTCTGCTATAATTTTTTCCAATCCATCGTGGCGCTTGAAATGACCAAAATATTTCAGCTTTCGAGAAAGGATGCTGTTTATTAGCCAATCTTCCTTGATGTTCAGATCTTTTAAGATGTCAATATTTCTCATCTTCTTTGTCCAAGATATTCTGAGAATCTTTCTATCTTTATCTGACATCATGTGTCTTTTTTACCTGGCCTAGTAGTATTACCCAAAATGTATGGTTCCTTTGCTTCATTTATCTTTACTGTGGGATAATGAAAACAAAGGGAGGCTTTACGATGATAAGGATAATGGCATGACAAACTAAGCAGTGTTGTCTCATTGTCTTTTACCAGGGTCTGGTCTTTTTTGGGGGTAATTAAATATGCTCTGGCGACTCTGACTCTTAGCTGTACACACATAGAGAGACTAGATTGGCTGCAGAAGAAGCCATGTGCACATCATACTTGGATGTACAAAGAATATGGCATAGAGGACAATGCATGACCTCCTTGATCTTCCAACCAGTGATGTGAAAACAATGATCTGCCTTGCATCTGTGCATCTGTGAGCCAGCGCCAGCACACACTACATAGTGAGGTTCGAGAGAAGAAGTCCTGCAGGTTCAAGAGAGGATTATTTTGTGGATGTTAGTTAGGACAAGGATATTATTTAACAGGTTTGTTCACTTAAGGACATAGAATCTTGTGAGGAATGGCCATTGAGTTAACCGTATGTGTCGATTCCTCCCCACCAAATATATGGTTGACACATTCCGTTTCTGGGGACAGCTTTTATCGAGTTTGCTCTCTAGACAGTTGCAGTCCCCTGCTGAGGAGATTCTGTCTTCCCGAGTGGACCGCCGCGATCAAAACATTGCGAAGGCAACGTGGCCGAGGCTGCCAAAACTATCAGTCATTATCCCGCCCCGACACAGCACAACCACAATACACGTTGTTCCCACGAAAAACACAAAATATCCTGCGTTGGAAATGCGCATAAAATAGCAGTCCATGATTATAGAACAGAATAATCCGAGAGAATTGACAGCCAGCGAAAATAAACACAGCTGCTGTCCGCCATTTTGAAAACGGAACTCCTTGTGAGGAATAAATAACACTCTGACACAATCTTCTTGCCAACCCTGTATAATGACAGAAAAAGAGAATAGAAAAATTACACCAACTGAAATGATTTTCTGTGAATGGCTATCAATATAACAATTAGAATAAGATCAGAAAAGAGAAAATCCAAAAGAAAATGGGAGTTACGGCAGCTCTAGGATTTCATTAAAATACTACAGGTGAAATGGTTTGGCCACATAAAGCAGATGTCAGCAGACATTATACCACAGCAAGCCATGATGTACACACTCGGCGAGAAACAAAGAAGCCAGCCATGCAAGCAATGGACAAAGGAAATTGCAGAGTTCCTGGGAATCCCAATTTATAAAGTACACAGACAGACTCTTTCCTGTAAATTGTACTTGGCCTCTACACCACAGAGTACAAGAAGAACAAGATGAGATGCGGAATGAGTACGAGTGCCAGCAGAGTTTTATACATCCTTTTTATTCTGCATAAAACTGGACAGACACTGAAGACAGCAAAACCCATTGGTGATGGAGGTGGAAGTTGAGGCTGTGATTCTTGAGAATTTTGCTGAGAGAGGTGCAGTTTTTTTACACTGATGGATCTCAAGGGCAGCATATGCAAAACTCATCGGCTTTCATGGTTCTGTTTGGAGGGAGAACTGTGAAGGAATACAGCAGTGATTTTGCCATGACTGCAAGTATTCTTACTATGGAAGTGATGGCCCTAACTAGAGCAATGACCTGGCTATAGAGACACAGATTTTTTTCCATGCTTGCCTTCTGATTCCATGACAGTTCTTATGAAGATCGAGACAGGATGGGTTTGAAGACGATGGTTGGAGTCTGTAAAAATCTTGTCTGACGGGTATCAGTGCAGTTTTTGTGCCAGGACACTTTTGGTAAGAGAGAATTGACTTGCTGCGCTGTAGACACAGGAAAAGCAAAAGACTGGGCCAGTTTTCTCAGTGCTGTTACAGAGGCAAAACAAGTAGATGATTTAGGAGACATTGATGACTCAGCAGCCTTGACAAGATTATAGAAACTTCATGTTAGAAGAGGTGTTGCCAGACATGAACTCTATACAAGTACTTGTTACTTGAGGTGCATAGTACCTTTCTAGCACATCAGTCCAACCTAGTCATGCTCTATCCTCCAGTGCAACAGCCATCTCAGTGTCTCCATGCTCACTGTATCCAGTTGGAGTTGACTGTCATATCTTCTTTCTTTGCTGTGCAAACATTTTCTACATTCTTTCCCTCAGTTCATACCCATTTCAGACAGGCGGTTTATTGTCTCTGACTTCTTTGCCTCAGCATCTCTGGAAAGCAGCACATTCATTTCTGCCCTGACCATACTTCATTCCCATTCACCTGTGCAATGTATGACCATCCAGGTTGCACTGTGCGGATCACTGAGAAATCTGAATAGCTGAAGACATTACCTGGCCAAGTGTGCTCGTGAGTGAGGGTCCTTATTCCAGCATCCGTGGCTGTTTGGCTCCATTATCTGCAGTACCTGCCCAGGTTGATAGTTACCCAACTGTGCTGTTGCATTCTCTCTGTTGTTTCTACCCACTCAGCACCAAGTCTGACATGCTCCAGTGGGCAGATTTGAGGAATGGTTTCCTCTGCTTCCACCATCTAAGATTGCCCTGTGCTTCCACCATCTAATATTGCCCTGTGCTTCCACCATCCAAGATTGCCCTGTGCTTCAAACATCTAAGATTGCCCTGTGCTTCCACCATCTAAGATTGCCCTGTGCTTCCACTATCTAAGATTGCCCTGTGCTTCCACCATCTAAGATTGCCCTGTGCTTCCACCATCTAAGATTGCCCTGTGCTTCCACCATCTAAGATTGCCCTGTGCTTCCACCATCTAAGATTGCCTTGTGCTTCCACCATCTAAGATTGCCCTGTGCTTCCACCATCTAAGATTGCCCTGTGCTTCCACCATCTAAGATTGCCCTGTGCTTCCACCATCTAAGTTTGTCCTGTGCTTCCACCATCTAAGATTGCCCTGTGCTTCCACCATCTAAGATTGCCCTGTGCTTCCACCATCTAAGATTGCCCTGTGCTTCCACCATCTAAGATTGCCCTGTGCTTCCACCATCTAAGATTGCCATGTGCTTCCACCATCTAAGATTGATCTGTGCTTCCACCATCCAAGATTGATCTGTGCTTCCACCATCTAAGATTGCCCTGTGCTTCCACCATCTAAGATTGCCCTGTGCTTCCACCATCTAAGATTTCCCTGTGCTTCCACCATCCAAAATTGCCCTGTGCTTCCACCATCTAAGATTGCCCTGTGCTTCCACCATCTAAGATTGCCCTGTGCTTCCACCATCTAAGATTGCCCTGTGCTTCCACCATCTAAGATTGCCCTGTGCTTCCACCATCTAAGATCGCCCTGTGTTTCCACCATCTAAGATTGCCCTGTGCTTCCACCATCTAAGATTGCCCTGTGCTTCCACCATCCAAGATTGCCCTGTGCTTCCACCATCTAAGATTGCTTTCTGCTTCCACCATCTAAGATTGCCCTGTGCTTCCACCATCTAAGTTTGTCCTGTGCTTCTACCATCTAAGATTGCCCTGTGCTTCCACCATCTAAGATTGCCCTGTGCTTTCACCATCTAAGATTGCCCTGTGCTTCCACCATCTAAGATTGCCCTGTGCTTCCACCATCTAAGATTGCCCTGTGCTTCCACCATCTAAGATTGCCCTGTGCTTCTACCATCTAAGATTGCCTTGTGCTTCCACCATCCAAGATTGCCCTGTGCTTCCACCATCTAAGATTACCCTGTGCTTCCACCATCTAAGATTGCCCTGTGCTTCCACCATCTAAGATTGCCCTGTGCTTCCACCATCTAAGATTGCCCTGTGCTTCCACCATCTAAGATTGCCCTGTGCTTCCACCATCCAAGATTGATCTTTGCTTCCACCATCTAAGATTGCCCTGTGCTTCCACCATCTAAGATTGCCTTGTGCTTCCACCATCTAAGATTGCCCTGTGCTTCCACCATCTAAGATTGCCCTGTGCTTCCACCATCTAAGATTGCCCTGTGCTTCCACCATCTAAGATTGCCATGTGCTTCCACCATCTAAGATCGATCTGTGCTTCCACCATCCAAGATTGATCTGTGCTTCCACCATCTAAGATTGCCCTGTGCTTCCACCATCTAAGATTGCCCTGTGCTTCCACCATCTAAGATTGCCCTGTGCTTCCACCATCTAAGATTGCTTTCTGCTTCCACCATCTAAGATTGCCCTGTGCTTCCACCATCTAAGATTGCCCTCTATGTTCACGTGTAGGGAACTGTGCAGAGTATTCATGTCAGCAGAAACATCCAGATATACCCTCGCCTGGGTCACTTTTGTTTATTAAAAATATCTGTTGTGTAAGCTGTATTAGGGAAGTTTGAAAACAAAAGATGTGGAAAAATGCAAAGAATACTGTGATGCATACATGTAAAGTGACTAATTACTGTTTTTTTTTTTTTAACTAAATGTTTTTTTATATTTCAGCACCCAGAGAAGAGTTTTACCTTTTGTGTGATGCTTTACCTGAAGACAAGAGCATCAGAGAGCACTTACAGAAGAAGAAATTGGTGACTGTTTTTTTTTTAAATTAAAACTTTTAGTCAACTTCCTCGTGTACTTCATCATACATTTTTAAACTGATAAGGCATTAGCTCAGGTTTTTGGACTCACATGCTCATAATAGATGACAGTACAGTGTGGTGCAATAGTATTCAGTAAAAAAAATTTTTTTTAAATCGTAGTAGATATTTGATTCAAAAGATTTCTATTGTTCAAGGTAAAAAAATCCATATTACCATAGCATGAGATAGTCAAAGAGTACTGAACCATTTCAGAAGTAAAGGAACAAATGAGAAGATAAAGATCAGTCATCATTTCACCACCAAGTTGTCCACAACCAGCCAGTCAGTCTGTCTGTTAATTTCCAAAGACACTGGCATTTCCTGGGGAAAATATCCAAAGGTTGCTAAATAGCCCAGACTTGTAAAGCGATACCTGCCACTCTTCACCGAGTATGCTGGTCTCCACCTTTCTCAATATCTTTGGTGAGTTGATTACAATGACGACATGTGTGTACAGATGATTTTCAAGCCAGTGAAGGGCTGCAGTGACTGCCTCCACTCTGTTCTTAAACTAGATGTTGTGTCATATGCCAGGCTTTGTTGCACTGTCATCCATTCACTTTTGTGTCTGCATGTGTGTGTGTATGTGTGGTGTGTGGATGGATTGATGGATGGGGGTCTATATGTAGGTGAGTATGTGTATATGTAAATTGGTGAGTGAGTGATTGGGTGTGTGTATGTGGGTGGGTCTATGTGCACAAGTGTTGGCATGCCTGTTACCACCCTTTTGTGTGTGATTTTTCTTAATATTTATAATATGCATATTATCATATGAACATAACATACTTTGTTGATAAAATACAACTGCTGTGTGAAAGATGGGTGTTCGGAGGGGCCGAATGTAGGACGGGCCTGCATGCCCAGTTTGTGACCATTTGTATGTGTGTTCTGAATGGATGAGTGAATCAAGAATTGACATCACTGTACTTGGGACATTCCCACACATTCTCTGTACACTTCTCTGTATACATTCTCTGTATACATTCTCTGTACACTTCTCTGTATACATTCTCTGTATACATTCTCTGTACACTTCTCTGTACACTTATCTGTACACTTCTCTGTATACATTCTCTGTACACTTCTCTGTATACATTCTCTGTACACTTCTCTGTATACATTCTCTGTACACTTCTCTGTATACATTATCTGTACACTTCTCTGTATACATTCTCTGTATACATTCTCTGTATACATTCTCTGTACACTTCTCTGTACACTTCTCTGTATACATTCTCTGTACACTTCTCTGTATACATTCTCTGTACACTGCTCTGTATACATTCTCTGTACACTACTCTGTATACATTCTCTGTACACTTCTCTGTACACTTCTCTGTATACATTCTCTGTACACTTCTCTGTATACATTCTCTGTACACTTCTCTGTATACATTCTCTGTAGACTTCTTCAGTAACCAACAAAAAGTTGACCTGCTAATAATACCAGTTGCAACCTGATTAAAAGTCTGCCTGTTTTCCCTTCAATGTGAAAATCTCCCAGAACATTGCAGTGTTGTTCTTCTAATCTCTTCTCATATGAGACAGGAAGCTCTATCAGCATGACCTAACAGGTGGAGAGGGACTTTCCTGGGTCTTTCCAAATGTTGTGGAGCTAGCAGTCATGGCCCTTCAGGTCTACCGCTAGTTGCCAGTCGTGCTTGCAGTCAAGCATGGAAGGAACTTTAGCGGCGTTGCTGACTTTATCGTAGTTTTGAGAAAGCTCATGGGTTGGTTTTTTGCACTGGTTGGTCTAGTCCAGTGGTTGGCACATCGCGGCTCATGAGCCGAATGCTGCTTTTTAGCTACCCAAGTGCGGCTGTTTGTATTTTTTTTTTCAAAAAATATTATTGTGTATATTATGGTTGTATTTAATGTTTAGTAGCTAGTTTAAACAGACTCGGCATCCTATAAGGGGGACCACAAAGATAAATGTTTTAATTTGTTTCAGTGAGTATAGTCAATATTTTAAATAATAATGTCTTTGACATCAATTTATTTTTTTCACTATTTTAGCATTTGAAACTTAAGTTATATTAAATCTTTTAAGTAAGTTTTGTTACTTGTTTGTGACACGGTATGGTACAAATAGAAATATTTAATAAGTAATTTTGTAATAAATTGCTGATTATTTTTTATTTTTTTAATCTTTTTTAAACGATATACAAAAATTACCCTGTTCATAATTAGACTGATTTTCTCCTTGTCATTTTCTGTATTTATCGTATTTTGACCCTCAGGAGTCTGTTTTGGCTCAGCAGCAGAAAGAACGAGAAGAGACTAAATTTTGCAGGCAATGTCTGTTTTGTAAACAGACATTCTGTGGGAACAGGTATTTTAGCTTTAAATGTTTTGTTTACAATCTTTTTGGATTTTGTCAGTATTGCTTTTTTTTAAATATATCATTTCTTCCATCCCTAGTAGTTTCATAAACATATTTGCACATATAGATCCAAAATGCTATAGAAAGATTCTCAGAATATCATGGACAGAGAAAAGGAGAAATACTGACATTTTAAAAGATCTGAACATCAAGGAAAATTGGCTAATAAACAGCATCTTGCCTTGGAAGCATTAATATTTTGGTCATATTAAGCGTCAAGGCAGATTGGAACAAATGATAGCAGAAGGCATAGTACCAGGAAGGAGCGCCAGGGGCCGCCCAACACGAAGATTGTCACAAAATTTAAGTGACTCCTTGAGTATGAAAGTACATGAGGGGGAAGAGCTGGCGGGAGACCAAGTTTCTTTCAGGCAGGCAGTAATGAGAGCAACATTCTGCAAAGGACCTGATCTATGATGACGAGATCTGTTTCTTGGCATTATTTGCCAAAACCTAAAACTACTCACCAATTTCTGTCTGTTAATATTGTGTGTATGTAAGTGATGCATTTTTTTTCTTCAGGTGACTTGTTTCCTTTCTCCATTTTTGTGTTAGAGAGTAAATGTTAAATACTTGTGCTAGGTAGGGGAGAGAGGGACATTAATTAACAAAAAGAATGGGAGTTTTGTTTTGTTTAGGAAATGAAGTATGGACAGAATAGAAAAAAAACTATTGAAGTTAGTGTGGACAGGTTTCCAGGGACATTAACTGTGATAATGTAGCATTAGTAATTATTAGTCAACCCTCAGCTGTGAAAAAGAGCAGGCATTTTCCCAATTCAAAGTGAGTGGTTTTCAGCAAGGGGACAATTGTCCATTATAATATCCCTATCATTATATTTTGGACAAAGAAAGAGCAAAAACAGTAAAAGGATACATGAGGTAAGTGGTAAAGTAGTAGAGCTGAATATTATAAAGGAAGCGGTAATTGAAAGATGGACAGAGTACATAACAGCGCTATACAATGATAACAGCAGACCAGACAGAGAGTCAGCAGTACTGGGAAGGACCGTCAATTCTGAAAGCAGAAGTAGAAGATGCTATAAACCACATGAAGAAATGTCAATCTCCAGGACCAGATAACATCACGGCTGAAGAATTAAAAGCTGCTGGTGAACTGGTCTAGAAGTTGTTTACAAAATTATTCAATGATATTTATAACAGTGGACCTAATGGCCTTTTGAAATGTCTTTTCATACCTTTACCAAAAACACTTGGTGCCGTGGAATGTGGAGAACATTGACAAGTGAGTTTAAAGAGTCATGTAACTAAAATATTAGTAAGAATTATCATGAGAAGAATAAGGGGATGTCCCGTTTTGAGCTCAGGGTATTAGGATCACCCTATAAATATCAGGTTTCTCTGGATAGGTTGAAAGCAGATTGCTAATGCACTGGTGCAAGTGTGGCCCTTTGACTCTAATATATATCTTGTTATCCAGGGCTGTCCTGTTTGATCACTTGCTGAGGGATCACACTTTTCATGTGGGCCAGCCAGATAACTTGGGTGAGTAGAGTTGTCTAGTTTCTGCTTGTGTTTTCACATGTGTATGCAGATTACAAGATTGCAGTTTCTGGTTATGTTTTCACATGTGTATGCAGATTACAAGATTGCAGTTTCTGGTTATGTTTTCACATGTGTATGCAGATTACAAGATTGCAGTTTCTGGTTATGTTTTCACATGTGTATGCAGAATACAAGAACGAATTTTCTTGTTTGTGTTTTCACATGTGTAGGCAGAATACAAGAATGCAGTTTCTGGTTATGTTTTCACATGCGTATGCAGAATACAAGATTGCAGTTTTCTGGTTATGTTTTTCATGTTTTCACATGTGTATGCAGATTACAAGATTGCAGTTTCTGGTTATGTTTTCACATGTGTATGCAGAATACAAGAACACAGTTTCTGGTTATGTTTTCACATGTGTATACAGACTACAAGACACAGTTTCTGGTTACGTTTTCACATGTGTATGCAGAATACAAGAAAGTAGTTTCTGGTTGTGTTTTCACATATGTATGTAGAATACAAGAACGCAGTTTTTGGTTATGTTTTCACATGTGTTTGCAGAATACAAGAACACAGTTTCTTTGGTTATGTTTTCACGTGTATGCAAAATACAAGAACACAGTTTCTGGTTATATTTTCACATGTGTATACAGAACACAAGAACACAGTTTCTGGTTTTGTTTTCACATGTGTATGCAGAATACAAGAACGTAGTTTCTGGTTATGTTTTTATATGTGTATGCAGAATACAAGAACGTAGTTTCTGGTTATGTTTTCACATGTGTATGCAGAATACAAGAACACAGTTTCTGGTTATGTTTTCACTTGTGTATGCAGAAAACAAGAACATAGTTTCTGGTTATGTTTTCACATGTGTATGCAGAATACAAGAACGTAGTTTATGTTTTCACATGTGTATGCAGAATACAAGAACGCAGTTCTTTTAAAATGGTAAAAAAGGAACATATGGAGACACACATGAATAGACATCACAAATATTAATGTGAGGTGAATACCCCCGACACTTCGATGAGGTACAAGGTGGAAGAGAAGAAGAAGAATATTTGAAATATATTTCTGCAAACACTTTTAGAGACTGAAACCGTTAAACTCATTTAAAAGGAGCATTAGATTGTTTCATTCAGAATTCACATTTTTGGAGTCCATGTAGTATTTAGACTGTCACATACATTATCATACATAATGATCAGAATAATCAATCAAACAATCAATCAGTCGGTCAGTGAAGGTTGGCTGCAATAAGTCTGCAACATGCTCTGTTTCTGGTCCTAGCTGTACACTCTGTCAAACTGATGCCGTTCTATCCTCCCACTTGTATCGTTACCCACCTCTTGCTCTCTTGCCTTCAACTTTTCCCTCCAGAATGGTTTTTAAAAGCGTGTTATGTCTTTTAATGTGGCCAAAGTAATTCATTTGTCTCTTTTTTTATTTCTCTTTTCATGTGTAGTCTTTCCAGAACCTCTGTATTGGACTGTTTTTGTTTCCATGAAAAATGACCTATTCTTCTGTATACCCACATCTCCAGGGCCTCAATTCTATTGTCTAGTTGGTTGTTCATTGTCCAAGTTCTGGATGATATAGCAGGATTGTGTATACAAAACATTTGACAATTCTCATTTTTACTGTTTTTTTTTTATTCCCCTTCTTCTTCTTCAGCATTCCGAGCCCTTTAGGTTCATTGCTAAATCATCCGCCTCCATTCATCTCTCTAGTTGGCCTTCTCTTTCCAGTTGGTTACACTAAGTGTTTGCAGGTATGTCTGGATAATATCTCCCCATCGTCTTCTTGGTCTGCCTCGTGGTCTACGACCATTCATCTTCCTGGTGTATCATTATGCAGTTTTTACTTTTCTGTCATCTGACATTCTTTCAATATGTCCTAACCATTTAAGTCTATTAGCTCTCATGATGCCAGTGATCAGTGGTGATTTAAACAGATTAGGAATTTCATTATTGCTTCTCACTCTCCATTCACCGCTGTTTGCATCTTTGATGCAAAAACTTTTATTCCTCTAGCTGTCAGTAATTTGCAAATAATGATCGACGACTGCAACTAATAAATATTGTAGTAACATTTTCCTAATGTTCCTGTCATTGATAACAACTTCATATAAAATGTCCACTTGTTGTCTGTGTTTTTTCCTTCTGTCGAACTTTCCTAGTTGCATCACTCATTTTTACTGAAGTCAGTGTTTGCATGTAAGAGAGTAGCCTCTCACTTGCAAGATATGTTAAATGTTGAATTAAGAATTGACATCACGGCACTCAGGGCACCCCAAAAGCGACAAAAATGACAATATACAGTATAAAAAGTTTGATTGTATGTTTTATTCTTTGTGAAGTTTTTCCTGAGTTACAATACAAATATTTTTTTTCAGAGAGAACTCCCTTTGTGGGAGGAAAAAAGGAATATATCCCCCCCCCCCCCCCCCCCCCCCCCACAAGCTTGTTGTAAAGGCAAGGAACCAACAGCTTGCATACAGAGAAGTCATATCTGTATAATGGATATGCATAGAACAAGACTCAAGTCTAGAAGTGGACTAACAACCAGAACTGTCTGCAGATGTTTACAGCCAGTGAACACACAAAGAAAAGAAGATGAGAGAATCGATTGACACTTTCCTCATAGGAAAAGTAAAGAATTTCAGAAAAAGGTTTTGTGAATGAAAATTAATTTCAAGTTTTATAGAAATGTCTTCAATTTACGGACAGTACCTGGTGACTCTGAGTCTTTGGAATAAAATACCTACTACGGAAGCAGTGACCACTTAAAGGGTTAAAAAGCACTAGTAATACCCCGTCTCCAAACATTAAACGGATCTAGCCATGCAAATTCCCCAGCTTCACAAAAAAGCAGAACCCAGTATTTTGTTTAAATCACCCAGGCCTTGTTGAAATGTAGAAATGCATTTCTGGATAAAATGATGTTAGTTAATTATTTAGTTGGGTTATCATCATTGCACTGCAGGCATGTCCATATTGCTCGGATCCTCCCCTCAGTATGAACCCCACCGTCTGGTGGCGAATAGTATCAGTTCTATGCTGATTGACGTCCTCTGATGTGCCTGATGTGTGTCTTGTTCTTTTTTGCTATGCTAATCTGAACTCCCGTCGATCTTTCTGGCAAGTGATGCGGATTCACTGCCCCCAAAGTCCTTCACCCTTCCCATTTCTTGGAGCAATAATAATATGAGCATGATCCATAGGTTGACCATCGGTAGTGACAGCAGATCCAGCCAACTCATCAGCTCTTTCATTTCCATCAATGCTGGCAAAGGTGATTCCATGCACAGTGGACTTCTATAATGACTCAAGCCACTGCGTTTGTACTGAACCTGCTTGAACCCTCCGGATCATACGCATTAAATCACTACGTACACAGGTTGGGTGTAGTTCTGTGTTTCTAGCCATGCAAACGCTTGCGTTACTGCCATCACCCCTATCATCATGCTGCTTGCTGTCATGGAGAAGACACCATTGCTTCTTTGACTGTTTTGTCTGCTGTTAAAATGATGATGACATAGAATGAAGTACATGGCATCATCACAGTGAAAGCCTACCCCAAAATGGAGAAACATGACTTTGAGCATCATTGCCTGTAACCAACAGGCTGCACATCTCTGTCAACCTTTCCACTTATACTAGCTTCCAATGAAGTCTTATACTACCTTCCAATGAAGTCTTATACTACCTTCCAATGAAGTCTTATACTACCTTCCAATGAAGTCTTATACTACCTTCCAATGAAGTCACAATTTTCTAGACCACCCATCATGAAAAACTTCCATTTCCAAATATCAGAACAAAGCTGCATTGGAGAACAGTCTACAAGAAATTGCAACTGATTTCTTGTTGTTATGAGCATAGTATGACCTGGCTTGTCAAGCACATAAACATATATTTACTAGCTGTGGAATAAATTTGGAAGTCATAGGATGCAGTGACTAGCACATTTGGCTGTTGGCCTTGTGGTTATGCATGTGGATCTTCATTTCAGAATAGGCAGCTTGTCGTCTGCCTGAAAGAAACTTGATCTCTTGCCAGCTCTCCCCCCTCATGTACTTTCATTCTCAAGGAGTCACTTATATACTGCGCCCATCTTCGTGTTGGTCAGTCCCTGCCCCTCCTTCCTGGTACCATGCTTTCTGCTTTAATTTTTTCCCAGTCCGCCATGGTGCTTGATATGACCAAAATATTTCAGCTTCCGAGGCAAGATGCTGTTCATTAGCCAATCTTCCCTGATGTTCAGATCTTTTAAAATGTCAGTATTTCTTCTCTTCTTTGTCCACGGTATTCCTTCCTAAATAGATAACCAGGAAATGCTCTAAGAAGTAAAAGACTAATAATGTGAAGTTAACCCCATCACTACCCAGATGTTGATTGGTTTGTAAACATGGGGCTTGCACCATATGCCTTATATGCTTCATTATGAAACAAGTCCTATTTTATAAACAATACTAGGAGTACCTGGCCATGTGTTGCTGTGGCTGAGGAAAAGAAAGACAATAGAAAGCACACATGTCTAATATGGTTAATATAAGTAATTGCGCAGATACAGAGATTTTCTGGTATGCCGATCTAGAACACGCAACATATAAGTGTATGTTTATATTAGTGGTCGATTAAAGTACATTGTTATAGTGAAAAAATAAAATGTACTTGTTTATCGCATGCTAAAGCATCTTTTGTGTTTAAACAGCTGAAAGTAAAGCTGACTACTATACCTCTAAATGACCAATAAATTCGCCCCAAAAAAATGAGAATAGCCGAGGAAGCGGTATTAAAATATAAATATTTATGAAATGAGAACTTAAAAATAATGTTTTAAGCTCTCTCAGTTAAAAGTGTATGTCATCAACCAGTACTACTGCTACCACTACCACCACCACCTTAACAACAACAAATAATAAAACTGTCTTTGTAGGTCAATGTAGCCAGAGGATTTAGCGCCACGTGGCTAGTGCTGTCGCCACAGACTGTTTAGTTTAATTGTGCTCCAACATTTAAAAAAAAAAAAAACAAAGCTCCATCAGTGATCCAATCTACAGTAATATTCAGTGAGTAAAAAAAGTACACGATACTCGCAAATAACAGAAATAAAAACCCGCACCCGTGATCTCTTGGAGAGGGACGATTTTTAATTGACCTTGGCATCCGTGTCAACCCAAACTAAAATGGATTTCATGCTGTCTTAATAAACAGTGTTTGTCATCAACGAATAGTTTTTGATCGATCCAGTGAAGCGTCGCTGGGAGGCTAATTGGGACTGTGCTGAAATCGGATGGGTTGAAGCGAGAGGTGCAGATATCACAGCCTAGCTATAAACCAAACCACAACACAACGTACCATCCGCTCTTTTAAGAAAAAAAAAGACTATAAAAAATACTTCTCTAAAACTGTTTCTGATTTACTTATTTTGCTTGTTGTACCACCACTTTCTGGGCTTACTTATATGTCAGAGTAAATTAATTATTGTTCAAAACAAGTACCTTATTTATCAAATGTATTGTTATGCAGAATTTCTGTATATTAACTTACACAACCCACTAAGTAATCTTGTTTCACTGGAAGTTATTTTTCCCCTTTTTTTTGTGGAAACCTAATTGTCTTCCTGTATTTTTTTTTTTTCAGTTTATACCGATGAATTATTTGACCTCATCCAGTCAAAACTTGACAAGTAAGTCCCGTTGTCTTTGATTTCCATGATTTTGTGTCTTTTTTAACTCACTCTGGACAAACAGGTTTCTTTCTCACTCTAGACGGGGATACGGAGTCATGTCCTTTGGCGTGCTCCTGGTACAGTAAGTGCAGCGCATGGCATTGATAACATTGCTTCTGTCCAGTACTGGGCCAACCATAGCAGCCGCATTATCAGCAAGATAGTCTGCACACTCGTTCCCTTGAACACCCGCATGACCTGGCACAAAGATTAAGGTTAGGGCAGATATTCATGAAGTGCTTAGTTTTGCAATTCATTCTTGACTGATAAATCCAACTTGGATTTTTAAAGAAATTTATCGTGTCACTAAGAATGCATACGCGTGTGAACTTCTGAGTACCAAGCCATGCTAAAGCCCTTGTTACAGCCATATTTGCCATTGTAAGGCTACTAGTTGTAACAGCAAAGGCACCATTCATCTCCTTGATGTTTTTCCCCCTTGAGCTTACTGTGAATGCCCATGCACTTCGCTTGCCCCTAATTACTGACCCATCTGTGTAAACTACAGCATCACCTTCATCTGTGTTTTTATCAATCAGTGTTCTGACTAAAGTGTTAACAATGTCAGGAATCTGCTCTCTACATCAAGTGTGATAAGGACTGTAATTTTAATGTTTGGAGAGGGAGGCATAATTATCCATTCAATTCCAAACTTAATGTCAGGCGGCAAACATGTTCGATGGCATCCTCAGCGCGACCCATCCAGGATTTGCCTTGTTTGAGTCTACTTTTTTTTTTTTGCTTGAATAATTCCTCATAAAGTGGATGTCGATGGACTGACTTCACTTTGAGAAAAGCAACAGCCCTGGATAGCTTGATTCTGTTTTCCAAGTGTGGGGAAATCCAAGAGGTATCACGTGGATTTACAGAAGGTGTCTCTTGTGCATCCAAGAATAATATGCATTGCCTCGTTTTCAATTTTGTTCCAGTCTGTTTACCTGTATGGTGCTGAGTGTCATGATGGCCAAGGCATATTCAGTGGTCGAGAGAACTAACGCACGCTGCATTACAAGTAGCCGTTGCTCAAAGTTTGCAGCTCCCATAACTTTTATTGGGGAGAGACCTTTCTTGGCTTTGGTTATAATGTGGTCTTCATGTTTGTTAAATGATAAGCATCTGTCAAATGTTATACCCAGGTATTTCATGGTATTAGATCTCTCCACATCAGCGCCACATAGTTTTACTATCGACATTGATGTTTTTGGGAAGGTGATTATTTAATGAGAATCAGGTGACTGTTGCCTTTGATGGAATAATTGTTGCCCCTGAGGTGTTGCACCAGGATAATATGCGATCTAATTCCTGATGTAGATCCGAAACAATGTCATCTCTGTTCCTGCCCTGTCGGTACACGAGGATGTCATCCGCATATTAATGAGTTCTATCTCTGCCACTCAGTTGTTCTCCTGTGATCTTGACTGTGTAAATGTTGAAGAGGATAGGAGACAATGGAGAATCCTGTGGCAAATCAGGGTGTATTGTTTTCAGCTCAGAAGACCAACTACCACATAGAAGCATGACCTTCCTCTGGAAAAGTGCGGCAGACATCCATCGAAGGAGATGTGGAGTTCAATTAACTGCAAATTGGTGAAAGGAACATTTGTTGGATGTATCCTCCAGATCTGTGGCGACTGCAAATGTTTCAAACTTAGCTTGAAAACCTTCAAATGTGTCATGTGCAAAGACCTTAGCTTGAAAACCTTCAAATGTGTCATGTGCAAAGACCTTAGCTTGAAAACCTTCAAATGTGTCATGTGCAAAGACCGCAGCATTACGCCATGTCTCCGTGTTTTGTCTGTATCCTCCAAGTGTGAAGGGAAGCAACTGATGTATTTCAACATGGCTTGCCAGTCTTCTCGCTATTATCTTTTCCAATGTTTTGCCTAATGTGTTCTGCATAATAATGATTCTATAGCCATTTATGTGTGCGGCGTCTTTGCCATGTTTTTCTAGTGAAATCAAATAGCTATGCAGCCAGCTATCTGAGATGGTACCATTACAGATGTTGTCATTGTAGGCTTTATATAGGACCTCCATGGATTTTGTGGGCTGCTTGGCAATGTCTTCATAATAAATGCCATCGGGGCCAGGAGCAGACTTCTTTGATGTTTTGATGATGTTCTTAATTTCAACAACCTTAATTAGCTGATCATCTTTAATGCCTGTACCGGCACATGTTGCAACGAGCATATCCGTGGTAGTCTGACGGGTGGCAGTGTCTTGCGCGCAGATTTCCTTGAGGTTATATGACAAGGGGTGCTCTTCCTTTCTCTTCATCAGACCTGTTCCGTGTCTGGTCTTCATTACGGAAGTCTCTGATGCCTCGGCATCTGGGAGCAACTGTCATGAGATATCACTCACTTCTTGAATGAATTATGCTCACTTGAAGTCAAGTTGCAGGACCTAAGGTTCAAATTCTTTCATACTATATATGTTGATGCAAGAAGCCAAAGGTGCTAGACTATGTGACATCAAATGGGACAAAGAATGAATGAATGTTACTTAGTCCCTGCTTCACTCCAACATTGTATGTCTTTATCATTTCAGTCAGTTGTGCCTTTTTTGTGAGAAATCTTTTAAGGACAAGGCAAGCCTGCGAGAACATATGAGAAAGAAACAGCACCGTAAAATCAATCCCAAGAACAAAGAATATGATCGATTTTACATTGTTAACTACATGGTATGATTTACGAACTTATTTTCTGCCAAGTAACTTCTGATATAAGTTCTACTGCACGTTTTGTTTTTCTGAACATTTTCTGTAAGAATTAAATGCCAGTTTAGTCATAGATCACAGTTCAGCTTACATGCATCAGTCAGTGTAACATTTATTATTGCACTTTTATGTGTGTGGTGGGGGTGGGGGGGCTCAGGGTATGCACAACGCATGTGGGAACATAGTTATTTGATACCATGTGTCTGTATCTGGCACCCCAAGCTTGTTCAGAAGTCTAGGTTTGAGAAAAGTGGTCTTGGTGTGTAGTATGACTGATTGACAGGAAACAATATTAAACAAAGTTACACATTTGTATGTAACAAAGCTGACAGAATAGTCCCTGAAATAAGTCTCCAGTTTATAACAATCAGTTATACAGCTTCCTATTATATAATGTGATTCTTCTACAGATGATTGAAATCGGAAGTAATTATAATAGTTATCTGAACCAGTAAAGAAACATTAATAAGCTGAACTAGCTTGGGTTTAGGTAAATTATGAATTCTATAATTAAATGATTTCCCTTCAAGAATGTTTCACCAAAGTCGAGCCTCCATCAAAAGATTTGTAGTGAGCTCCACCTATCTATGGAATAAAGGACAGGTAAAACCCCCAAATTGAATTTAATGAAATCTGTTGGAAACAATGCTCGCTGTAGGTACATGCTAGTTTAATGATTGAAGGAAAATTAAATTTGGGGGCTAAAATCAACATAATTTACTGATATTTATTGAAAATATCACATTTTATGCAGAAAATAGCCAAATTTGTACTGAACATTTGCAAAGATATTTCAGAACCTAATAAAGGTGGCTTAATGAAAGTTTGCACATATATTTAACATTATATTTCAAAATTATTGTGCTAAATACTATTCACTTAAAGCAACGGTTTAAAAGTTATGTTCATTTATATGGTACCATACTGTTTTTAAAAAAAAATAGGCTTTAGGGTTACCATATATGACAAAAATGCAAAAAGTATTCAGGCTGTTGTATTTATGTTAGTTCATTTAGTTTCGCTGATCATTTCCTATGTGTGCTAAGTACGAAGACAGTATGTTAGTAACTTTTTGAGATATTGTCCATAATGTGGTGAAAAATATCAAAAAAAGGATTTAGAGAAATAAAAGTCACTTACCAAGCTGGTTTTCACAGTTATCCTTGCTCTAATGAGCTCCTGCTGCATCAGTGTCATCTTCAGGATATTGCTCAGCTGTCTGAACACTTGTGTCTGGTGTCTTCTTATCCACTTTATTTCCTTCTTCACTTGTGTCTGGTGTCTTCTTATCCACTGTATTTCCTTCTTCACTTGTGTCTGGTGTCTTCTTATCCACTTTATTTCCTTCTTCACTTGTGTCTGGTGTCTTCTTATCCACTTTATTTCCTTCTTCACTTGTGTCTGGTGTCTTCTTATCCACTTTATTTCCTTCTTCACTTGCTTTTTTTGCGGGCTTGATTAAATTGACGAAATGCAGAAATACTTGACCCACAGCCTAATCCTAATTTCTTTTAGTATTTCAATCCTACCTTGTTCCCCTTTATTATGTGCGAGTACAAAAACAGCATCATTCACAGCTATTTCTAGCCTATCTCTTCCAACAAATATAGTTTTAGGGCATCTATCCCAAATCAAATTATGGAATGCTTCATTAGCATTTTGCGTTCCGCCATGCAAACATTTTTTTAATAAACCATCATGAGAAAGTTTATAAATCAGGTACAGCCACAAAGAAGGCATTGCACTGTTCTAAATGCTTCATGGTGTCATACAAAGGGTAGACATCCTTATAATTGATGAGAATCTTGATTTTGGATGTAGGTGCAGGAATTTGATTAGTCAACTGGTCTCTGTTTTGTGCATGGTGCTACTTCAAACACAGCTGTAAGTTTCCTACCTATTTCTCCATTCAATGTTGAATTAAGAATCAACATCATAGCACTTAGGACACTCGCATAAGCACTGTGTCCACATCTTCAGCAGCAGGTGATGAGTTCTAATTCTGATGGTACCAGTTACTATCTGATTTTATATCCATCTCGCCTTTCCTTGCATGTTGAGAGTCGGCCATATGCCCTGGTAACTCCTGGCAGCGCCACTCTCCTCGGGCCATAAAGATCTGTCTGTGCCTCCTCACTGTTCACTTGCTTCCAAAGGGTCCTCACATCATCTAGCCTGTCATAAATCAATTAGTTCAGCAACATCTTATTTCCCAACACACCAGCTAGCCTGTCATAAATCAGTTAGTTCAGCAACATCTTATTTCCCAACACACCAGCTAGCCTGTCATAAATCAATTAGTTCAGCAACATCTTATTTCCCAACACACCATCTAGCCTGTCATAAATCAGTTAGTTCAGCAACATCTTATTTCCCAACACACCATCTAGCCTGTCATAAATCAGTTAGTTCAGCAACATCTTATTTCCCAACACACCAGCTAGCCTGTCATAAATCAGTTAGTTCAGCAACATCTCATTTCCCAACACACCATCTAGCCTGTCATAAATCAGTTAGTTCAGCAACATCTTATTTCCCAACACACCATCTAGCCTGTCATAAATCAGTTAGTTCAGCAACATTTTATTTCCCAACACACCAGCATAACCTGGAAAACATATCCAAAGGATGCCAACTACCCAGGACCTCTGAAGTGATGCTTGCCACTCTGCACTGAGTATGCCTGTCTCCACCTTTCTCAAAAAATTTTAAAAAATTGTATTGAGTGAAATAACACAGCATGAATTACAAATGGACGAATACTTTAGAACACATAAATATATTCATTGAAGCAAAAAAAAAAAAAGAAAATAGTTTTGGCATCAAAGTAGATTTTTACAATACTTTTTATTTAAAAAATGTAAGCGTAAGGACATTTTTAGACCTGATATACATGGCAAATGAATGCAGTGACAAACAATGAGTGATCACATATTTTGCTCATATTTCAGGAAATGGGTAAAAACTGGGAGAGTCTACAATCGGAAGACAACCGTCTCATCAAATCAAGTGAAAAAGACACTGATGAAGAAGAGTAAGAGAGAAACAGTATAGTTTTCTAGTAACCATTTCCAAACAACAGTTGTAGAAGTGTTCTGTTCCGGATCTCATATTATCCTGGACTGATGCTTCATATGTTGATGTTCTGTTCCGGATCTCATATTATCCTGGACTGTTGCTTCATATGTTGATGTTCTGTCCTGGATCTCATATTATCCTGGACCGATGCTTCATATGTTGATGTTCTGTTCTGGATCTCATATTATCCTGGACTGATGCTTCATATGTTGATGTTCTGTTCTGGATCTCATATTATCCTGGACTGATGCTTCATATGTTGATGTTCTGTTCTGGATCTCATATTATCCTGGACTGATGCTTCACATGTTGATGAAAAAACCATCTGACCTCCTCATCTTGTTATCTCTGAATCACATGCAGTGCTCTTATAATGAATCTTTCACTTAAAATTATCTATTTAACATTAGATTCTTTATAAAGGTTGGACATCCAAAATATTTACCAGCTAGAGCCTGACGGTTTGTATGAACTTTTAAACAAAGCATGAACATTCACAATGTGTTTCAGTAAATCTCCATAAAAATTGAAGGGGAGCTGGGACCATCCAGTGGAGTGGAGAGGTTGTCAGGCAGTCGCAGCAGCCTTTGATGCAGTTGGGAGGCGTTAATTGAAAATAATACTGCGATATCTCCGAAACAGAGAAAAGACCAAAACAGTTACAGACCAGAGCATGTTGTAAGACGTGGAAAGAAAGACGCTACAGAACAAAATTACCATTATATCATTCTGTTTGTTCAGTTACAGAAGATATATACTAATGCAAGGAACAGATTTGAGTAACTGGTGACATCAGACAAGATTGATAAAAATAGGACAGGAGAAAAGCAGATTCATTGTATGTCTTGGTGATATGAATGGGTCAGTACAAAAACACCACCCCATCTGTGATTCTGCTCATGTGAGGTCATGGTGATGTGAATGGGTCAGTACAAAAGCACCACCCCATCTGTGATTCTGCTCATGTTATGGCTTGGTGATATGCATGGGTGGGTACAAAAGCACCACCCCATCTGTGATTCTGCTCATGTGATAGCTTGGTGATATGAATGGGTCGGTACAAAAGCACCACCCCATCTGTGATTCTGCTCATGTTATGGCTTGGTGATATGCATAGGTGGGTACAAAAGCACCACCCCATCTGTGATTCTGCTCATGTGATAGCTTGGTGATATGCATGGGTGCGTACAAAAGCACCACCCCATCTGTGATTCTTCTCATGTTATGGCTTGGTGATATGCATGGGTGGGTACAAAAGCACCACCCCATCTGTGATTCTGCTCATGTGATGGCTTGGTGATATGAATGGGTCAGTACAAAAACACCACGCCATCTGTGACCCCATCTGTGATTCTGCTCATGTGATGGCTTGGTGATATGAATGGGTCGGTACAAAAGCACCACCCCATCTGTGATTCTGCTCATGTGATGGCTTGGTGATATGAATGGGTCAGTACAAAAGCACCACCCCATCTGTGATTCTGCTCGTGTGATGGCTTGGTGATATGCATGGGTGGGTACAAAAGCACCACCCCATCTGTGATTCTGCTCATGTGATAGCTTGGTGATATGAATGGGTCAGTACAAAAGCACCACCCCATCTGTGATTCTTCTCATGTTATGGCTTGGTGATATGCATGGGTGGGTACAAAAGCACCACCCCATCTGTGATTCTGCTCATGTGATAGCTTGGTGATATGAATGGGTCGGTACAAAAGCACCACCTGATCTGTGATTCTGCTCATGTGATGGCTTGGTGATATGAATGGGTCAGTACAAAAACACCACGCCATCTGTGACCCCATCTGTGATTCTGCTCATGTGATGGCTTGGTGATATGAATGGGTCGGTACAAAAGCACCACCCCATCTGTGATTCTGCTCATGTGATGGCTTGGTGATATGAATGGGTCAGTACAAAAGCACCACCCCATCTGTGATTCTGCTCGTGTGATAGCTTGGTGATATGAATGAGTCAGTACAAAAGCACCACCCCATCTGTGATTCTGCTCATGTGATGGCTTGGTGATATGCATGGGTGGGTACAAAAGCACCACCTGATCTGTGATTCTGCTCACGTGATGATAGCTTGGTGAAATGAATGGGTCAGTACAAAAGCACCACCTGATCTGTGATTCTGCTCATGTGATGGCTTGGTGATATGAATGGGTCAGTACAAAAACACCACACCATCTGTGACCCCATCTGTGATTCTGCTCATGTGATGGCTTGGTGATATGAATGAGTCGGTACAAAACCCTACCCCATCTGTGATTCTGCTCATTGTGTAGCATGGCAAATACTGGATTTGTTGTGAGTGGCTGTGTGTGGGTTTGTTGTGAGTGGCTATGTTTGGGTTTGTTGTGAGTGGCTATGTATGGATTTGTTGTGAGTGGCTATGTGTGGATTTGTTGTGAGTGGCTAGGTTTGGGTTTGTTGTGAGTGGCTGTGTGTGGGTTTGTTGTGAGTGGCTGTGTGTGGGTTTGTTGTGAGTGGCTATGTTTGGGTTTGTTGTGAGTGGCTGTGTGTGGGTTTGTTGTGAGTGGCTATGTTTGGGTTTGTTGTGAGTGGCTATGTTGGGATTTGTTGTGAGTGGCTATGTTTGGGTTTGTTGTGAGTGGCTATGTGTGGATTTGTTGTGAGTGGCTGTGTGTAGGTTTGTTGTGAGTGGCTGTGTGTGGGTTTGTTGTGAGTGGCTATGTTTGGGTTTGTTGTGAGTGGCTATGTTGGGATTTGTTGTGAGTGGCTATGTTTGGGTTTGTTGTGAGTGGCTATGTTGGGATTTGTTGTGAGTGGCTATGTTTGGGTTTGTTGTGAGTGGCTATGTGTGGATTTGTTGTGAGTGGCTGTGTGTAGGTTTGTTGTGAGTGGCTATGTGTGGATTTGTTGTGAGTGGCTATGTTTGGGTTTGTTGTGAGTGGCTGTGTGTGGGTTTGTTGTGAGTGGCTATGTGTGGATTTGTTGTGAGTGGCTATGTGTGGCACTGGTTGGGAAGACAAGAAAAAAAAGTTATATTTTGCCCTGCACAAAATTTGATTTGTTACCTTGTTTTTAGAGAGTGGTCAGGCTGGAATGAGGAGTCAGATTCAAAAGTTGTTTGTCTGTTCTGTGACTCATCATGTGTTGTGCAAACTGATCTACAGCTGCACATGAAGGTAATATTTTTTGTTTGTTTGGTAAACAGTTTATTTCATATAATCAGTAGCATTCCTATTCAACAATGTATAAGGTTAAATGGAAGCAAGTTAAATAATTTAAATATCTAGGAAGTACATTTTAATTATTATTTTTTTTTTTTTCTTTGGGGAAGGCCCTAGGCAGAGATGGAATTCCTATTGAGATCATTAGGAGTGGTAAAGACATACTAAACCCATAAATTTGTCAGCTAATAACACTTTTGCGAGTGTGTAGGACAGATTCTACAAGAGTTCAAAGATTCAAGCATCATAACTATATACAAGAACAAGGGCAATCAGTGTGGCAGCAACACTACAGGGAAATATCACTCTTGTGTGCTGTTGGAAAAGTACTTGCCAGAAATGTTCTGTGAAGACTTCAGATCCTAGGAGACTAGGTTTGCCTGTTCTCTTTATGACAGCTGCATGAAAAATGCCTTAAACACAATCAGCCACTGAATATTTTATTGCTCTTATTGATTTTACCAAGGCATTTGAGTTGGTTAGTCCTAAAGGTCTGTTCAACACACTCAAGAAGATAGTGTGTTCCACACAGGTGGGAAAGGCACAGTTTCGTGATATAACATCAGAGTAGTGTGTAATCAAAAATGGAACAAAGCATAGATGTATACACTTGTTCCTACCTTCTTTGGAATATACTTCTCAATCCTTTTTAAAGATGCCTTTTGTGATCAGGAGGATGGTATATTCATCATTCTCAATTTGATGGCAGCCTCTACAAAGCCAGTAGTCTGAAAGCTTAAACCAGGTTAAGGAAGGTACTTATCAGAGAACTGTTGTCTGCGGATAATGCTGCAACTACCGCCCACTCAGAGGACTAGCTGCAATATTTCCTGTCTGCATTTGCTCATGCATGCTGTGATTTGCACTAACAATAGCAAAAAGAAGACATAGGTTTTGGTGCAAGGTGTTGTTAATCATAGACTTGCAGTCTACATCGATGGTGAAGAGCTAAAGACAGTTGACCATTTTACATATCTTGAATCCAGGATCCACAGTGGATAACAAACTCTCACTGGACCTAGAAATTGACATCAGGATAGGTAATAACAATAATGAGCAGATGAACAGACAGATCTCAGAGGAACATAAATCTCATAATTACAAAGGTCACTGCTGGACTTTGGTCTTGATCCAGACCTTGAGATTTGTGTGCACAACCATTTTACAGATCTGGCTTATTTGTATGCATAGTGTTGGTTCCTTGCCTCTCAGGCAGATGCAGTCCGACTTTGAAAGAAACACCCATATTTAGTCCCCTCCTACAACATGCTTGTTAGGGAAGCATTAAGTCAGTTCTTTGTTCACAAAGTGGAGCCAGGTAATTACTCCACAGGGACCCATCAATCTATTATTACAATAATATTTTTTTTTATTACTTCTTTCTAAAGGGGCATGCGTTGCAAGTCCGACTCGTAATTCCAACATACCGTGATCAAAACCCACTGCTGGCTACGTGGATTTTTATCATGGTATGGGGAGTCAGGATATATGCCCTAGGGAAAAAAAGACGGCTGGTGTAATGCTGACCACATTACCCACCTAGTGCCAATTGGTCTGAAAAAATATGGGTGCTTCTCCCATGGGATCTTTACTTTTAGTTGAGCTGAGTCAAGAATTGACATCACAGCACTCAGGGCATTCCCATGCCTGCTCCGTCCTCATCTTCAGCCGGTAAATTCCCAAACCTCCTGGAAGAAGCTTTCTCTGTTCCAAAAATGCTCGTCACTGTCTTCTCCAACACTTTACCAAAGGTGTTTTGTAGGGTTATGATCCTAAAGTGGCTGAGCATTGAATGATTCTTGCCAGACTTCATCCACTTTTCTGGGACTGAAGCTGTCCTAAAGCTCTGGTCATCTCCACCAGGTCTGCATCACTCATGTCTTTCATTTGGCAATATCTAACTCAGTCAGGCCCTGGCGCCATGTCTTTCATATGGCAATATCTAACTCAGTCAGGCCCTGGCGCCATGTCTTTCGCCATTTTCAGAACACGATTTAAATCTTCCACCTGTATGATGTCTTCATAATGTTTATTCTTTAAGATGGCTGCCAGATCTTCTCTAACTATATCTCTGTTATCTCCATCATTGTGGTCTGTCTGTAAAATGAACCTCTTCAGGAAAGCGTCCCCCTTCTCTTTGTCTGTGGTTGACAGCATACCGTCATATCTGTGGATAGCTCCTACTACGCTGGACCGATCTTTCCTGAGCATCTGCCTAAGAAGCTTCCAAAACTTTCCCAATGTCTTACCCCCCCCCCCCCCTTCCCCCCAATCTCGTTAATAAAATGTTCCCATTTTACTTTTTTTTGGCCTCTGCTGCATAATGCTTGAAAACCTCTATTCCATCTTTCTTATCTCTTTCAGCGCACTCCAATTATTCCTGCCTGCTTAGGGATGTTTGTCGTACTTTTTTTAAATCATTTTACTGCAGTTCTCTTTAACTTCCATGCCTGTTCTACCTTTGATGTCCACCATGGAGGCTGCACAAAAGTAGATCTGATTTTCCTCTTCCGTGCCCTCTGTCGGAGGCTTCCAAGAAAGGTGTTTGTCCACTCATACTTGAAAGACCTACGAGCTTCTGAGGCCTTGACTTTACCAGACTTGAAGATCAATTTTATCACCGGGCCTCACAGCCATTCTGGTTAACTTCCCATCATTTATTCAAACAAAATTTGAGTCGACCCTGGCATCAGCAAGGGCAACTCCCTGTCGATTTTCTCCAGAACTGTCCCATTCATTGTTCCATGCATTTAACCTGTTACCAGGGATTCCCTCTAGATCTTGCGGCCAGTCCCACTGTTGCCAGGGATCTCCTCTAGGTCTCTCAGCCAGTCCCACTGTTGCCAGGGATCTCCTCTAGGTCTCCCAGCCAGTCCCACTGTTGCCAGGGATCTCCTCTAGGTCTTTCAGCCAGTCCCACTGTTGCCAGGTATCTCCTCTAGGTCTTTCAGCCAGTCCCACTGTTGCCAGGATCTCCTCTAGGTCTCTCAGCCAGTCCCACTGTTGCCAGGAATTTCCTCTAGGTCTTTCAGTCCGTCCCACTGTTGCCAGGGATCTCCTCTAGATCTTGCAGCCAGTCCCACTGTTGCCAGGGATCTCCTCTAGATCTTGCAGCCAGTCCCACTGTTGCCAGGGATCTCCTCTAGATCTTGCAGCCAGTCCCACTGTTGCCAGGGATCACCTCTAGATCTTGCAGCCAGTCCCACTGTTGCCAGGGATCTCCTCTAAGTCTCTCAGCCAGTCCCACTGTTGCCAGGGATCTCCTCTAGGTCTTTCAGCCAGTCCCACTGTTGCCAGGGATCTCCTATAAGTCTCTCAGCCAGTCCCACTGTTGCCAGGGATCTTCTCTAGGTCTTTCAGCCAGTCCCACTGTTGCTAGGGATCTCCTCTAGATCTTTCAGCCAGTTCCACTGTTACTTTGTGACTAATGAACCCACAGCAGCATATACATTTTTCATGTTCTAGCTTAGGCCACCAATCTCCATTTGTATTCTCTGCACCTCCACGGCATCATGATTCCAGAGACTTAGGTCAAGCACCACATGTTTCAATCCCTCCTTCACTAGCAGACATTGTCCATGTCTCTCGTGTCCAGCAGGGTTTACATAGTTGACATACCCAGGGCAATTATATTTGTCTGCATTCAGCTCTTGAAGCATGATAACATCAAAATCGTATATCAACCGCTCTAGTGTGGGCCCTGTCTGGCTGACACTGCGACAATTCCAAAAGCACACTCTTACATGTTTGAACCCCAGCCGTTCTTTTTTTGTTTTGAAATCTCCTGGCTTCTGCCCTTCTATTTCTCTGCTTTCCGTTCTTTCTTGCCAAGAACTTCTACACAAGATTCCTTCCAGATTCCCTTGATCGGATCCCAGCAGTCTTCAGTGCTTACATCTTTAGGTACTTAATAGAGACTGTTACTGGAAATTGTTCTTCAACTTCTTTATCCCTGAGATAACCTATAACCTACATTATACTGGTTTCTATGATTATAAGATGTTATATCTTTTAAGTTTCAACTTGATTTTACTCACCAACAGAAAATGGTCAGTAAATACATTAGCACCACTGAAAGCCCTAACATCATAAAGGGATGATCTAAACCTTTTGTTAATGCGATCAGTTTGATTGGTTATTGTATGGTTAAATCAGTCAGTCTCATCTTGTGGGAACTAAACTTTGGTTAAATCAGTTAGTCTCATCTTGTGTGAACTAAACTTTGGTTAAATCAGTCAGTCTCATCTGGCGGGAACTAAGCATAGACCCAATGTCTGCATGCTATAAAAGGTGACTGATTAAGGAAATGCTGACATCAGATGTGTTGGGCAGAGAGGAGTTGATATTTCAGTCTTGCTGACAAACCACAAGAAGATGTGCCAACAACTCTTTTAAAGGTGAATGCAAAAGAAAAAGAGAGACTGCCTATGCTTTTTACATAGGAATAAGTAATAAATGGTTAACTGTCTCTAGTAAGAAATGGTTAACTGTCTCTAGTAATAAATGGTTAACTGTCTCTAGTAATAAATGGTTAACTGTCTCTAGTAATAAATGGTTAACTGTCTCTAGTAATAAATGGTTAACTATCTCTAGTAATAAATGGTTAACTATCTCTAGTAATAAATGGTTAACTATCTCTAGTAATAAATGGTTAACTGTCTCTAGTAATAAATGGTTAACTGTCTCTAGTAATAAATGGTTAACTGTCTCTAGTAATAAATGGTTAACTATCTCTAGTAATAAATGGTTAACTGTCTCTAGTAATAAATGGTTAACTGTCTCTAGTAATAAATGTTTAACTGTCTCTAGTAATAAATGGTTAACTGTCTCTAGTAATAAATGGTTAACTATCTCTAGTAATAAATGGTTAACTGTCTCTAGTAATAAATGGTTAACTGTCTCTAGTAATAAATGGTTAACTATCTCTAGTAATAAATGGTTACTATCTCTAGTAATACAACATGCAGGACAGAAAAAAATGATTCCAGTGCAGCAGCACTATCAACAGCAAGCAGTTGAAAGTGAACACTAACTACATCAGTAAGTTGTATTGTGAACAGTAATGTTTGGTCTCATGACATCGCCTAATGACTTCAAATATTTTGTTGAGCAACATGCTCTTAATTTATGTAGCTTTGAGGTTCACTGGTAAGTACATATAATAACAAAAAATACAATCTGGTTGTTTATTTTCTCAGGAAAAACACAGCTTTGATCTACAAGAAGTCAACAACAGACTACAGCTGAACTTCTACCAGAAAGTGAAGCTCATCAACTACATCCGTAGACAGGTAAAGCTTTCCTAGTATTTGATTTTTGTTGCAAGTTATAATGTTCATTTTATATTTAGTTAATGTTGCCTATTACTGTTGGCGATTTGCTATCCCAGCAGGAGATAAATGCAGGGTTGCCTAGCAGCCAGAATGTTTGTTCTGGAATGTGAATGGCATCAAGACATCAAGAAGTGTTGTGGTCTGTGAATGTTGAATTCAGAATCTACATCATAGCACTCGGAACACCCTCATAAGTGCTCTGTCCCCATCTTCAGCAGCAAACTAATAGTTGCAATTCCGATAGCACCAGTAACTGTCTGATTGTATATCCGTTTTGCCCTTCCCTTGGTGTTGAGTGTAGGCCAGATTCCTTCATCATGCAACGCCATTCTCCTCAGGTCTTAATGATCTGTTTGCGCTACCGCACTGTTTACTTGCTCCCAGAGGGCACTCACAACGTCTAGCTGGTCATACATCATCAATTCACCACCAAGTGGTGCAGAACCGGCCAATCTATCTGCCTGTTCTTTCCCAACACACCGGCGTGACCTGGAGAGTATATCCAAAGGATACTAACTACCTGGGACCATTGACGTGATGCTTACCACTCTGCTCGGAGCATACCTGTCTCTACCTTTCTCAGCATGCTCTATGAGTCGGTGACAATCACGGCATCTGTGTACAGCTGATTCTCAAGCCAGCCGAAGGCAGCATTGACTGCCTCCACCTCCATTATGGCCTGGAAGACAATGACAGCAGCTTGCTCTGTAACCTTTCTACATTGGAACTATCCTGTATATCCAGCCAGTTTTTCCCATGATTCAGAAATGAAGCAGCTGTAAATCACCAGTACTGGCAGAATGTCTGTAGTCAGTGTGATTGCTGGACTTTCAATCACCAGTACTGGCAGAATGTCTGTAGTCAGTGTGATTGCTGGACTTTCAATCACCAGTACTGGCAGAATGTCTGTAGTCAGTGTGATTGCTGGACTGGCCCACTCTCATAGAATGGTAATTAGACAGTTATTTTGCAGTTAACTTTGTTTTAGTTTGTAGCAATGGTTTCGTTATTAATAAATCTGGTTGCTATAGTAAGAGGCAGGGGGTGGTGCTGGAAACAAGACTGAAGTCCAGGAGAGAACAAACAACCAAAATGAGTTTTTCACTGGGAGAGCGCTTAGAAGAAGAAGGCAATTGCCTGGGTTGCTTTCCATCTCACTGTGAGTCTACAAAGGACCTACTAGAGGAACTGACAAAAACTAAATTGAAATAATGGGAATGTTCATCAGGCGGGTGATGGGAATGTTCATCAGGCGGGTGATGGGAATGTTCATCAGGCGGGTGATGGGAAAGTTCATCAGGCGGGTGATGGGAATTTTCATCAGGCGGGTGGATAGGACAGTTTTACTTCAAGACCAACAAGATAATTATATATACAGGGACAGAAAATGAAAAACAAACTAGAGCTTCATCCCTTTAATAAAAAAAAATTCTCGGCACTTCTCAACAGTTATGCACATTTGAGCACAAACAGGATGAGGATATATATTTTACATAAGAAAAAGGAATACAAAAAAGAGACTAGTTATAACCCTTTCACCGTGAGAAAACACTCTTAGGTTGTTTATGTTTTGACTACAAACTATAATTCCTATCATCTATATAATAGATCTCATAAATTATTTACTGTATAATGAAAACAAATCATGTGATAGTACACATTCTTGGTGTACGCCCCTCTTTATGCTCTGAAATGTTCTCAAATGGATGTTAATTGTTGTAGCTTCTGTTTGCTGCCAATACATATTCATCAGTATTTAATTTATCTAGTAGATTGATTATTTCCTTGTTTCACAAAATCAAAAGCCTTCATATAGTCAGTGAAGCAGAAATACAGATCCGTTTTAACTTTTATAGATCTTTCCAACAGAGTCCTGAGGATCCACGTTTTCCTTCACTAATTTCTGGTTTAATCCTTTTTCCTATTCTTCTTGTGATTGCTTTCAGTAACAACTTTGTCATGTGACTGATAAGACTTTTTGTACGATCCTCTTTACATTTTTAAGTGCCTGGTTTCTTGGGCAAGGCAATGGGTCATTAGCAATGTAGCCACAATTATGGTTTTTTCCCTGTACATATATTTATTTGTTGGTGCCTGGAATGCCAGACTTTCTTGTGATTTTGTTTTTTCCCCGTACATATATTTATTTGTTGGTGCCTGGAATGCCAGACTTTCCTGTGATTTTGTTTTTTCCCCGTACATATATTTATTTGTTGGTGCCTGGAATGCCAGACTTTCCTGTGATTTTGTTTTTTTTCCCCGTACATATATTTATTTGTTGGTGCCTGGAATGCCAGACTTTCCTGTGATTTTGTTTTTTCCCAGTACATATATTTATTTGTTGGTGCCTGGAATGCCAGACTTTCCTGTGATTTTGTTTTTCCCTGTACATATATTTATTTGTTGGTGCCTGGAATGCCAGACTTTCCTGTGATTTTGTTTTTCCCCAGCTCCATGCACATTTGATTCAGCCAGGTTTCTTAAGCATCTCTGTATTTGTTCTCTATTTTTTTTTTCTATTCTATAATATTTTTCCTTATTCTTTTTCTTCTGATTCTACAACAATTGGTGGTTTGCGATGACAGCTTGTCGGACCGTCGATCAACCGATATGCGCCGAACTAGAGAGAAACACGTCCCGCCATCTTGACACAAACCGTATAATGAAACACGATGCTGTGTAAGAACTGATTCCGGCAATTCTGACTGGTTCCCGGTGGAAACAGGAGTGAAGCAAGGCTGTGTCCTATCGCCGATGCTTTTTGGTATAGCAATCGACTGGGTCATGCGCAAGTGCATAAATAATGCAAATTTAGGCATTACATGGGTTGACAAAATTCTGGAAGACCTAGACTTCGCTGACGACATAGCACTCCTGAGTTCAGAACACACAGACGCCCAAGAAAAAATCAATCGACTCCAGAATTTCTCAGAACAAATTGGACTCCAAATTAACACCGCAAAAACAAAAATTCTAGACCTTACCAACAGTTCAGTTGATATCACGCTGAACAACAACAGCCTTGAAAAAGTCAACAGTTTCACTTATCTAGGGAGCAAGATGTCATCTACAGGAGATACCGCACCAGAAATACCATTTAGAATAGCACTGGCATCTAGTGCCTTCAATAAACTGTCCAACATCTGGAAATCAAAAACACTTAACAAACACACAAAACTCAAGATCTTCAATTCTTGTGTGATTCCAGTACTAACCTATGGATGCGAGAGCTGGAAATCAACGAAAACTCTAGACACAAAATTAGACAGTTTTGAAAATAAATGCCTTAGAAGAATACTAAATTTCAAATGGTCAGATTTCTGAACCAATGCACAAATAAGGCAAGAATCCAGGCAAGAGTATGTGTCTAATTTTATACGAAAACGTCGCTGGAACTATGTCGGCCACGCCCTTAGAATGGATAAATCAAGACTTCTTTACCAAGCCCTCATTTGGACACCACAGGGGAAAAGATCTCGTGGAAGACCAAGGGAAACCCTACATAGAACTTTCATCGGGGAAGGCTCGCTCATGGGCCACTCAAACATCCAAGACCTACAACAGATTGCAACGAACCGCCATGCATGGAGAGTCATGACCTCTGCCCTATGTGCCGCACTCGACACAAGAGGAAAGACTAACTAACTAACTAATTCTTTTTCTTTCTTCTTTCATCCGTCAACAGCAAAATTTCATTAGTCATCTGTTTATTTTTTGCAACTCTATAAGTTGGAGCCATGATCTCTTGTGATGAATGCTAAATTGACTCTCTCAGCATATCCCATTGTTTATCAGTAGTCTGTATTTCCTCTATGGCGTTCTACCTGATATACACAGTGACATTGTACTGTTCCTTAATTTCTTTATCTGTTTTAAGTATTCTTAAATTTAACTTGATGTTCTATGGGGTCTTTGTTATAGTTTTCAGTTTTAATTGAATCTTTCCCAACACTAAAGCATGATCACTGTGGCAGTCTGGTCTAGTGTTTCACCAACTAAACAGCTCCTGAATCTTTTTGAAATCAATTTACAATCGGTCTAATTGCACCAGGACTTTTCCCAGTCTTACACTCAATGGTGCTTACATTAGGTGTTACCAATGATCATATTATGTGACTCCACCCAAGCTATGAACCTGTCGACTTGCTCATTCTTTTCTGCTAGTCCATAGCCACTAGTTACTCCACACACTTTCTTACTTCTACCTTTTGCATTGAAATCGCCCCTGATCATTGTTTCTTCAGAATTGTTACACCAATCAAAAGCCATATCATTATACAAAGCATTAGTGTTATCTTATGAGTTTTCTGCCATTGGTGCATTCACCTGTACAAAGTTTATATCAAGTGGTTTACCATGGATCTTTACTAATAGCACCCTGTCTGAGATAGTCACAATACCTTGGATCTTTACTAATAGCACCCTGTCTGAGATAGTCACAATACCATGGACCTTTACTAATAGCACCCTGTCTGAGATAGTCACAATACCTTGGATCTTTACTAATAGCACCCTGTCTGAGATAGTCACAATACCATGGACCTTTACTAATAACAACCTGTCTGAGATAGTCACAATACCTTGGATCTTTACTAATAGCACCCTGTCTGAGATAGTCACAATACCTTGGATCTTTACTAATAGCACTCTGTCTGAGATAGTCACAATACCTTGGATCTTTACTAATAGCACCCTGTCTGAGATAGTCACAATACCTTGGATCTTTACTAATAACACCCTGTCTGAGATAGTCACAATACCTTGGATCTTTACTACTAAGATAGCACCCTGGATCTGAGATAGTCACACATACCTTGGATCTTTACTAATAGCACCCTGTCTGAGATAGTCACAATACCTTGGATCTTTACTAATAGCACCCTGTCTGTCTGAGATAGTCACAATACCTTGGATCTTTACTAATAATAGCACCCTGTCTGAGATAGTCACAATACCTTGGATCTTTACTAATAGCACCCTGTCTGAGATAGTCACAATACCTTGGATCTTTACTAATAGCACCCTGTCTGAGATAGTCACAATACCTTGGATCTTTACTAATAGCACCCTGTCTGAGATAGTCACAGTACCTTGGATCCTTGGATCTGAGATAGTCACAGTACTAATAGCACCCTGTCTGAGATAGTCACAATACCTTGATAGTCACAATACCTTGGATCTTTACTAATAGCACCCTGTCTGAGATAGTCACAATACCTTGGATCTTTACTAATAGCACCCTGTCTGAGATAGTCACAATACCTTGGATCTTTACTAATAGCACCCTGTCTGAGATAGTCACAATACCTTGGATCTTTACTAATAGCACCCTGTCTGAGATCTGAGATAGTCACAATACCTTGGATCTTTACTAATAGCACCCTGTCTGAGATAGTCACAATACCTTGGATCTTTACTAATAGCACCCTGTCTGAGATAGTCACAATACCTTGGATCTTTACTAATAGCACCCTGTCTGAGATAGTCACAATACCTTTAACTGTTTTTGTATATGTGGGTCAAGAATAACATCAACACTGTTGTAATATTCCTTTCTGTCTCAATAAATAATTGTGTATTTCTCTGAATACTTGTCTCCCACATCGGGTCATGGCATTTCACTCATTCCTAATATTTATATATTCATTTCTTTCTTAGGCTTGAGCTGAGTTGATTCAAGAACTGACATCACAGCACTCAGGGCATTTCCATAAGCGTTGCATCCCCTTCTTAAGCAGCCAGCACAGAGTTTCAGTACAAATGGTGCCAGTAGCATTCTGATTACACGTCCATCTTGTCTTTCCTGTGAACGTCAAATATTGGCCATATCCCCTTGTCACTCACCTCCGCTGCATCACTCTTACCAGACTAGTGATCTGTTTGCTACTCCGAATTGTACACATTCTCCCACGAGGCCCTATCCACGTCTGTCCTTATTGTGCATCAGTATACCAACAAGTTGTGCAGAGCCAGCCATTCTAGCTGCCTCTTTATTTCCCAACACACCAGCCTACCCTGGAGAAAAGATCCAGACAGATCAGACCAATTATATGTTGATTTCAAAATCAGTTTAGTTGGTGCAAAGACTGATCAGACAATGCCTGGGACCCTCGTCATGTTATCCAACTTTCCATTTTGTTAAAGGGTTCTGACATTCTATGTACCAATGTTTAGAATGTTACTGACCTTCACTTTCTCTATAGTAGTCTGATATCAGACAGGTATCCTCTGTAGAACTTGATGCCCCCCACCTGACTAGATTATTCCTTTAGAACCCTCATTATTGTTGCTGTCTGAATCTAATTTGTTTAGAGGCATGATTTATTTAGGGAGAAAACAGAGCTGGTTTCCTATTGCCTTCCGCCGATTTGTTTATGGTATGACTTCAGTAGCGTTTGTCTCAACAGATGTAACCTGCAAGAAAACTGAGAGAAGAGGTTATAATAGCATTTTCTACCCGCTGATGACCATGTCACGGAGTTTGGAGGTGTTTTATGGGTTAGATGTCCCACCAAGTAACTCACTTCCTCTCACTGACCACCACCTGTGTTGTCCACAGCCACTTGTTCAATATATTCACTACTAACCTCTGTGGAGGCCACTCTAGCATCTGACACACTGTGGACCCACCTAGACAGACTCCTACCACATACAATCTTAATATGAGCTCTAGTTAATTTTGTCAAATATTAAATTTTATTAGAATCAGTGTTGCCAGAGATATCCTTCTGGATGGTTGGCATCTCTTCATTGTAAGAAAATCAGGTCACAGACTATGCATTGTTGGTGAGAAGTGTCCAGGTCACAGACTATGCATTGTTAGTGAGAAGTGTCCAGGTCACAGACTATGCATTGTTGGTGAGGAGTGTCCAGGTCACGTTTGCCTTTGTTTGAAACTTTTCAGTGTGCGATATTTGTTGTCACTTTACGTCAGTTGGCTTGTTCGTCATTATAACCACATGAGGCTTGTTTTGTCAAACTATACATGTGTTTAAAGTCAAGAGGGTTCACTTCATTGCACTGGGTTTGCTTCTGCATGACTGGGTCCCTCTCTGCCGAGTGGCTGTGAAGCCTTGACAAAAGTTTTTCACAGTGCAAAAACTGTGTAGCTCCAACAGTGATCAATAGGGACCTCCTTACACATTACAGTGATTAGCCAAGCATGACAGTCCCTAAAATGAGCCCAAACTTTCAAAGCTCAAAGCAAACAGCTAAACCCTTAAAAATCTTTATCTGATTTGTGATTTGTCCTGCAATGTTTACACAGTTTTTGGCCAACTGTGACAGCACTAGACAACACCAGTCATCCCATTTGTTGCTGGTATATAAAACACTTTTTTTTTTAAAGCTTGCTTGTCTCAGATCTGCACACTGATGATCTATTTTGCTAAACTTGTTAATGAATCACTTGTATCTAATACAGGTTTACCACAGAACATGCTATGGTTGCCAGCAAGTGTTTGAAAATAAAGAAAAGCTGCATTGTCATTTTGATGAATTCTCAGATCACATCAAGAAAATACCTGACTCTGAAGCATGGGACCAGCCACAGTAAGTTCAGTGTCATGTTAGTTGCTCAGGCAGCATCGAGTTAATTAAGCCTGAACTTAACAGCAAACTAGTGACCCATAATTGCCCCATTCCTGTACCAGCTAAAACCACACCAGAGTGCCTATATCTATCCCATGTCAAAGACATTAAATTGACCACAGTACTGGCAAATCTAACAGCATGCACTAAATGCATAAGGCAGCCTCTAGAGGTATCACCAACAGTCTGCCTCTAGATGTATCACCAACAGTCTGCCTCTAGAGGTATCACCAACAGTCTGCCTCTAGAGGTATCACCAACAGTCTGCCTCTAGAGGTATCACCAACAGGCAGCCTCTAGAGGTATCACCAACAGGCAGCCTCTAGATGAATCACCAACAGGCAGCCTCTAGTTGTATCACCAACAGGCAGCCTCTAGAGGTATCACCAACAGTCTGCCTCTAGATGTATCACCAACAGTCTGCCTCTAGATGTATCACCAACAGTCTGCCTCTAGAGGTATCACCAACAGTCTGCCTCTAGAGGTATCACCAACAGTCTGCCTCTAGATGTATCACCAACAGTCTGCCTCTAGATGTATCACCAACAGTCTGCCTCTAGATGTATCACCAACAGTCTGCCTCTAGATGTATCACCAACAGTCTGCCTCTAGATGTATCACCAACAGTCTGCCTCTAGATGTATCACCAACAGGCAGCCTCTAGAGGTATCACCAACAGTCAGCCTCTAGAGGTATCACCAACAGGCAGTCTCTAGATGTATCACCAACAGTCTGCCTCTAGATGTATCACCAACAGTCTGTCTCTAGATGTATCACCAACAGTCTGTCTCTAGTTGTATCACCAACAGTCAGCCTCTAGATGTATCATCAACAGTCTGCCTCTAGATGTATCACCAACAGTCTGCCTCTAGATGTATCACCAACAGTCTGCCTCTAGATGTATCACCACAGTCTGCCTCTAGATGTATCACCAACAGTCTGCCTCTAGATGTGTACAGTTCTTTGTTAAATGGAAGTGGCAGTCATGACAAACCAGTAGTTGCACATGCATTAATGCAAAAGACACTACTGCTAGATCTGTAGCAACTAGTCACCCACCATTTTCTGAAAATTCAGTTTCCAGCACATGCCACCTTGGGCAAAGACGGAAGGCATTCCACATGAAATCCACAGCTGACATTGTCACACACACGCTCAGCTGAGTAGCTTGATGACAGCAACATCTACATGTGAAGAAAATGTGTCAACAAACCAAGTCCAAAAAGTAAACAACACTCAGACAACCTGCCCATCTGTGTCCAGAAGTAAACAACGCTCAGACAACCTGCCTATCTGTGTCCAAAAGTAAACAACGCTCAGACAACCTGCCCATCTGTGTCCAAAAGTAAACAACACTCAGACAACCTGCCTCTCTGTGTCCAAAAGTAAACAACGCTCAGACAACCAGCCTATCTGTGTCCAGAAGTAAACAACACTCAGACAACCTGCCTCTCTGTGTCCAGAAGTAAACAACGCTCAGACAACCTGCCTATCTGTGTCCAGAAGTAAACAACGCTCAGACAACCTGCCTCTCTGTGTCCAAAAGTAAACAACGCTCAGACAACCAGCCTATCTGTGTCCAAAAGTAAACAACGCTCAGACAACCAGCCTAACTGTGTCCAAAAGTAAACAACACTCAGACAACCTGCCCATCTGTGTCCAAAAGTAAACAACACTCAGACAACCTGCCTCTCTGTGTCCAAAAGTAAACAACGCTCAGACAACCTGCCTATCTGTGTCCAGAAGTAAACAACACTCAGACAACCTGCCTCTCTGTGTCCAGAAGTAAACAACACTCAGACAACCTGCCTCTCTGTGTCCAGAAGTAAACAACGCTCAGACAACCAGCCTATCTGTGTCCAGAAGTAAACAACACTCAGACAACCTGCCTCTCTGTGTCCAGAAGTAAACAACGCTCAGACAACCAGCCTATCTGTGTCCAGAAGTAAACAACGCTCAGACAACCTGCCTATCTGTCATATTGAACTGGAAGTCAGAAGTGTCATGTAATTAGAGCAATTAAGGGGATTATTGGCAGATGTGAAAGAATTATAATAATGATGATCAAAGTATCTGTAAATAAGAAAACCTCTGTGGCTTAGAAGATAGTGAACACATTTTACAGTCATTAACACACTGACAGTAATATGAAAGTTGAAGAGATTGGCAATCCTCATAAAAAAGACCACAGCTGATGAACAAATTTACTGCAGCCTACCCTTATTGTATTCTATATGCAAAACTTTCTGTTCTGATGATTGTCTACATATGAGGGGAAATCAGTAAGTCACAAATGGTTGTTTAAAAAAATATTTAAAAAACTAAATACATATTCTTCTTCAGCATTTCGGGCCTTTGAGGTTCATTGCTGCAGATATCACCCGCCTTCATTCATCTCTCTGGTTGGCCTTCTTTTTCCAGTTGGTGACACCAAGTGTTTGCAGGTCTGTCTGGACATTATCTCTTCATCATCTTCTTGGTCTGCCTCATGTTCTACAACCATTTATCTCCCTTGTGTATACAGTTTTTACTTCTCTGTCATCTGACATTCTCTCAGTATACCTCAACTATTTCAGTCTATTAGCTCTCATGATGCCAGTGATCAATGGTGATTTAAACATATTATGAATTTTGTTGTTGCTTCACACTCTCCATTTCCCGCTGTTTGCATCTGTGATGGGTCCAAAGATTTGTCGAAAACCTGTAATAAGGCTTTATCTCTTTTAGTTGTGCTCCAAGTTTCACAGCCATATAACACGACTGGTCTTATCAACGTTTTAAATATTTTGATCTTGGAGTTGTGAGACACTTTGACTTTAGCAGATGTTGAAGGGCATAGTATACTTTATTTCCAGATTGTATTCTAGATAGCATTTCTTATCTCAGCATGTTGAAGCAGTTGAAGTTTACACCCAAGTACTTATATGTTTCCGTTCGTTTGATTTTCATATTATCAACTTGTATGTGGTCAGAGTTTATATCCTTTCCCTGTCTAATTATTATCATGTATTCTGTCTTATCTTGATTGATAACTAGTCCCATTTTCTGAGCTGATTCTTGTAAGATAGTCAGTATTTTAACAGTCTCTAGTTCATTTTCTCCATTGATATCAATGTCATCTGCATATCCAAGTATTCTTGTAGTTTCTCCTATAGTACACTCTTGTTTCAATTTCTTATAATTTTCTCCAGGGCCAAGTTTAAAAAAATGGGATAGAGCATCACCTTGCTTTAATCCAGATGTTTTTTGAAAAGGGTCTGACTTTCTACCTTTATAAAAAAGTAAAGCAAAGATCCCTTTTCACGCCTTAGGCTCATCGGGTATATGGGAAGAACATCCCATATTTTTACAGACTAATCGGCACTGGATGGGTAATGTGGTCAGCATTACGCCGGCCGTCTTTACTTTCCCAGGACAGCCATCCTGATACCCATGTTAGGCTGGGTCGACCTGCGGCGCCCCATACCATGATAAAAATCCACGCAGCCAGCAGTGGGTTTCGATTGCGGTACGTTGGATTACGAGTCGGACTCGCAGTGCTTAAGCCACAGACGCCGCTCTACCTTTATATATTACCTCTTCTTTTTATTCTTTCGTTCGCATGAAATAAATGTTACCACAAATATATTGTCCTGATAAAAACCAAGTAAACAGTTTTGTCCTTTATTTTTTACTCATATTGCAAAAATACATTTCTTTTGTAAATGTGTCAGATTTTAATGACCACTCAAAAATGAGATAGATGTTATGTTTGTTTAGTACATCGTAAGACCTTTATTACAAGGCTGTCATTTTGTTTCTATTCAACAGGTACTTTTTTCCAACATATGAGGATGACTGTCTTCTGTGCCAGCTGGATGATGATGATGAAGGTGCGGCAGGTGATGCACTGGGAGTACTGGTCATTGCTGAGACCATCCCAGTGACTGATACTATACTGAAGGACCAGAAGTTATGCCATGATCTTCTCAAGCCATAAATGCATTTGAGTATTCAGCACACACAAAAGGCTTGCAGATTGATACTTTGAAACATTTGACATCACATGCAAGAAATAGTCACATTTTATATAAAGTCCAAATTTAATATTTACAGATGATTATTCATGAAATGTCCCAAACACAGTGAAGGTTTTACACAGCAGATATGTCAATGGCTCATCATTTCTGAGTAGCTAGAAACAGTTCAATTCAAAACTCTTTACTACTCTTTTCCACTTAGTATTGAAAAACTCACTGCCTTGTTTTTCCACTGCTAGATTGTGTTTATTAGTTTTGCCATCACATTGAAACATGTTTTAAAAATAAGGTAGTTTTAATACAAAATAGTTAATTGATTGGTGCAATGATGTACGTTTTCATGCAGCATCAACATGCCAGGGAATTATTTGCAATATACCTCTGTATCCAGCTTGCCACAGTCTGCTGTTGATTATATTTTGAGTGGTGGGTTTTGTTTGTTTCTAATGATGTACTTCATTGCTTGGACTCATCCCATGATGCTTGTCTGTCTGCACACAATGACTAGAAGCCTACAGGGAGTGCCATTAGGAACTCCTTAGCTTCAGCTATAGTCCTGACCAGAATCCTACAGAGAGTGCCATTAGGAACTCCTTAGCTTCAGCTATGGTCCTGACTAGGACACAGAGTGCCATTAGGAACTCCTTAGCTTCAGCTATGGTCCTGACTAGAAGCCTACAGAGAGTGCCATTAGTGTAATGTTGTGAATTCCAATTAGGAACTCCTTAGCTTCAGCTATGGTCCTGACTTGAAGCCTACAGAGAGTGCCATTAGGAACTCCTTAGCTTCAGCTATGGTCCTGACTAGAATCCTACAGAGAGTGCCATTAGTGTAATGTTGTGAATTCCAATTAGGAACTCCTTGGCTTCAACTATGGTCCTTAAGAATTTTCACAAAAATTGCACTCATTAACTGGACATGTCTATGAAACATGCCCATGACCTTCAGAGCACAAGGCAAATGGCTTGACCACTGGTCAGTAGAGACCCCTAGTATATCGTTTATTTCCTGTTACTGCTTCTCAGTATTTCAATAAGTTTAATTAAATACTAAATTTAAATACAATTTTCACAATATTTTCAGTAATCATTTTAGGCTGCACAGACCTAAGAGCCCAAATCACTTTTTTTTTCTATAAATGGCTACCTCAGTGGGGATTAGAAAGACAACTACCGGGCTGGTTCTGTGACTTCCAGGGATTAGAAAGACAACTACCGGGCTGGTTCTGTGACTTCCAGGGATTAGAAAGACAACTACCGGGCTGGTTCTGTGACTTCCAGGGATTAGAAAGACAACTACCGGGCTGGTTCTGTGACTTCCAGGGATTATAAGAGTTAGATGAAATTAGTAGCATTTGGAATCAGCTGTAGTGAATTTTCCCAAGTATTTGAAAGTACAGAATGCTTAAGCTGTTAACTCTTTCAGGTCAATAAATTTTGACATACTTGGCTCACATTTTAAGACCTGTATTTATTGTTAGAACGTTGGTATCCATGGCACTTAAACACAAACTTAGAAAATGCACTGTGAAAAAACAAACACTGCTAGCTAGCAATCAGAACAATCTACACCCACATGTCTTGGAACCAGAAATTTTATTTTAAAGAAGATGTTAGAGTAACCTTCCCTGAATACATTAAAAGTAGGTCCGAATATTGGAAACAAAATACTATTTACACGATGGACCCCGACAGTGTTGTTTACGCAAATCAGAACTTCTTAATCAACACTCACAGCATTGCTCAGGCCTTAAAGAGTTCAGTGGGTAATTTGCATGCACTGGATTGTCTATATAGTGGTTCTTTTCCCTGACTGTGCTGGAGTCACCAGGTATTGATAGTACATTTAAGTAAAAGGTTACATCTTTTAATTTATTACTTTCCCTTTTTTTTTAACCTTGAAATTTATTACTTCTTTGAAGAAAAATTTATCAGACCATTTCCTCTGGGAAATGTGATGTTGTGTTCCCGATCATGCCAAATTCCCCAAAAGATGCCAATTTCAGAGAATCTTTACATTATCTGTTGCTATATTGGCCAATTGCAAACTATAGAGATAGTTTTTTGTTGTTGCTGTTCTCAGTTATTTGAGATTGATTATAACACAAAAGTTTCACTGTGGTCAAAAATGCTAAACTATTGAGGAATGTTTGTCAAGGGGGTGGGGGGGGGGGGGGGGGGGGGAGCAAGTCCAGTGTTTCTGCAAACTGCTTGCAGCACGCAAACCAGGGACAAACATCAAGCCATGAATGTTACTCATCAAACCTACTGGACACCAGCTGTAGAAAGTACCCACTGAGATAGTGGTGAATATATCTGTCAGATCCACGAAAATCGTGAAAGAGGAAGTTGGTGCAGTTGAGATGGCTATTCAACATCAAAGACTTGTTTTTCCTGTTAGGCCATTGGTGTCATCACTGGTGTTTGCTTGGGTCATGTCATTAACAAGAATTCAGTCTGTTATTTCCTGTGTCCACATCTTCAGCTAGACTTCTCTCTAGTTCTTTCTGATTTGTATTTCACATGTTCCATTACTAAACAGAGTCAGTAACTTTGCTGTTTCTTCTTTTCTTTTGTCAAAATCTGCTTGTGCCGCTAGGCGTCGCTGTTTCTTAGCTCCTCTTTTATCAAATCTATTATCCTTCTGATTTGCCACACAAAAAGAAATCTTGTCATGTTTTACTGATGGAGTATGACGCTGTCAAGTTATGTCATTTTTCTCCAGAGATGTGTCATTAGCTTTCTTATCAACGTTTTTTTCTCTCCAGAGTGGACTTGAAATGCTAAGCCATTTGTGATAGTCTGAATGATTGATGCTGGATGCTGTTTCTTGTTACCTAGTCTGAATGATTGATGCTGGATGCTGTTTCTTGTTACCTAGTCTGAATGATTGATGCTGGATGCTGTTTCTTGTTACCTAGTCTGAATGATTGATGCTGGATGCTGTTTCTTGTTACTTAGTCTGAATGATTGATGCTGGATGCTGTTTCTTGTTACCAAGTCTGAATGATTGATGCTGGATGCTGTTTCTTGTTACCTAGTCTGAATGATTGTTGCTGGATGCTGTTTCTTGTTACCAAGGATTGATGCTGGATGCTGTTTCTTGTTATCAAGTCTGAATGATTGATGCTGGATGCTGTTTCTTGTTACCAAGACACATGTTAATATTTTTTATTTTTGGTGTTAACCATTTGGTCAAGCAGTGTTTTTGTGTGTGTGTTGTTGTATTTGGAAGGTGAAAGTTTTTTTAGGAAGTAGCCCAGAAGATTTTGATTGTTTCTTTCTCTTCTAGGAGATATTATCACATTTCAGTTAGCTGATTTTGGTTTGTTGTTTGTTTTAATAGTCTGGTAGTGATGCTTTCTAGTATCATTGTTTCTGATTGTTGTCTTCTCACTAAATTAAAATGTAGATCTAGAGAGATTGTGCTGATCTATACATTCACAATGAATTGTTCAATGTGATGATTTGTTAGAGCTGCCCTACTTGTGTTTTTAGCAGCCAGCATGAAATATGAAACTTGTTTAAAAACATCCATCACCCCATTGGTACATTTGGAAAGCTGTGTCATCATCTACAGCACACAGAGGAAACAGAGTCCTTTGTCCTGCCACTGGATCCAGTTGGACATCGGTGAGAGATTGAGATGGTCAGCATTGCCCAACTCTTCCTCATGGCATCAACTATTGACTACAGTTTCATGGCAGATAAAAAACAACATTTTTTCTTATCACTTGGGTTGGACAAACAACAAAGAAAACTGAGACTCTGTAACCTGCAAATAATGGCAATCACTTGAAATCACATCAATAGCAGTCTTCATATTCAGATTCATTGACTGTCTGAAATTTTTTATTTTATTAAAATAAATTTGTATGTTCTATATATCAGGTTCTTATTAGAGGCTTCAATGTAAATGTTAGTAGTAAAACTCTCAACATATTGCCAGCCATTTGCTTTGTTCACATTGTGATTGGATACATCAGCATTGTCTTTACACATTTAGTGGAAAGGTCACAGAGCTTTCATAAACATTTACAATTTAATTTCTGTTGCTTCAGTTATTTTCTCTAATTTGTTGGTGGTGGTTTTGTTGTTGTTGCAAGTAGATGGAAGCATTTATGCAACAACTTGTATCTAGGGCCATTAAATCTTAGTAATTTTTATATCAAAACAAGTTTATCTATCCATTCTTCAGTAATGTAGGCTTAGATTTTCTTCTTCTTCGCTTTCACCAGCTGTAAACTCTGAGGACATTTCTAGTTGTTTGTCCAATTCTGCACTCTAGTCCTGTTCCAGAATCTGAGTGTTGTGTGCACGTCTGTTTTACAGATGTGATTCATTGGTATGCAGACTTTTTTTGCCTCTCAGGCAGATGCACTCTGACTTCGAAAAAGGTTCCCAATTAGTTGACACTTATGACATGCTTTAGGGCAGGTAGTGGGCCCCTTGTTGTTTTCTCCACAGTAGAGTCCCGGAGGCTTAGACCTAGTCATTGGTCTTTTTAAACGATAGGATGACCTCTGTTATCTTTCTAAGCTAGATATGAATTGCATCTATTATCTATTGTCCAGTGCACAATTTTGGGGGGTATTAAAAGCTGAGTTTCTATCTATCTATCTATGTGTATCTTTGTTTGTTTATCTAAACATCTACACTATCTATCTAGTGCACTATTTATGCCTGATATCTATCTATTGTCTTCTTCACTTTTACCGGGTATTTTGATTCAGATTCTATCTATCTATCTATTGTCTTCTTTTCACTTTTTGCTGGGTCATTTTGATTTAGATTCATTGTATCTATCATAGTGTGTCTTCTTCACTTTTCACCAGTTTGTATTTTGATTCAGTTATTCATTGACTGTCTGAAATTTTTTTATTTTATTAAAAATGTATTTGTAAACATGTTCTATATATCAGGTTCTTTATTAGAGGCTGTCAATGTAAATTGTTGTTGTT